CCTGCCTCGAGCACAACAGGCATACCAGACATTGTCACTGTGCAGCGTTTACAGGGGGACGCCCCAACTCAGAAAAAGGCATATGGAAGACGCATGGGTGTTCGCACTCTGCGTCAAAAGGTCTCTGGATCACTCCAGTTGGCCAAGTGTGTATACCTGATGCTTTGTTACCAATGCTTATTGACTGTCTTCATACTGATACCCACCTTGGCAAGTAGGGAATGAGTAATATCATGTTACGTACCTGGTGACACCCCCGATTGGCTGAGGCAGCCCAGAAGTGTGTCAGGTCATGTCTGACGTGTCAGCAAAATAATGCCGGCCAAGGAATGCGGTGCGTAACAGGGAAAACACCCTTGCCAGGTGGCCTATTTGAGTGTATTCAGCTTGATTTCATTGAATTGCCACATGTACATTGCTATAAGTATTGCCTTGTTATTGTTGACGTGTTTAGCAGATGGATTGAAGCCTTTCCAACCACTAATAATAAAGCCTCAACGGTGGTAAAATTATTACTGACAGAGATCATACCGAGGTTTGGAGTGCCTCAACAGATTAGTTCAGACAATGGCCACCACTTTGTAGGGAAAATCAACAAAGAACTATGTGAGGTGTTACACATCCAACAACAATTCCACTGTCCCCACTACATCTGCGATTCTGCCGATGCCCTCTGCCATATTGACAATTTCCAGTTCCCTGGCCCTAACTGCCTCCTCTTCACCATGGATGTCCAATCCTTCTATACCTCCATTCCCCACCAAGATGGTCTGAAAGCTGTAAGGTTCCTCCTTGACCAGAGGCCTGAACAATCCCCATCCACCACCACCTGGCTAAACTTGTTCTCTTGATGAACAAATTTCTCCTTTTAGTTCATCTCACTTCTGCCAAGTGAAAGAAGTGACTATGGGCACCTGCATGGGTCTCAGTTATGCCTGTCACTGGCTTCCCCACCACCCCCACACCTGTAACTCTTACTGGTACATCAACTGTTTCAGTGCTGCTTCATGCCTGGACCTCAAAATTTGTTCATTTTTGCCTCCAATTTCCACCGTTCTAAAACTTTCCCATGGTCTATTTCCTACTCTCCCCTTCCTTTCCTTGACCTCTCTGTCTCCATTTCAGGGAACAAACTGCCCAGTGCCACCACAGCAAAACAACTGACCCCCACAGCTACCTTCCCTACACCTCTTCACACCCCATATCCTACAAGAATTCCATCCCATTCTCCCAGTTCCTTCGCCTACGTCGTATCTGTTTGGACTGCTGACATGGCTTCCTTCTTTCATAACCATGGTACTTCCCTCTGTGGTTGACGGGGCCCTCAACTACCTCTGACCTATCACCCGTGCCCCTTCCTATCACACTCAGCAGTGTAATCAGGTCCCCCTTATACTCACTTTTCATCCCACCAGCCTCCGCATTCAAAGGGATCATTCTCCACCATTTCAGACAACTCCAGCAGAACACCATCACTGAACACATTTTCCCCTCACTTCCAATCTGTATTTCATAGAGTCTTTCCGTCCAGGAAACCGTAGTCTATTCCTCGACCAGCACTATGACCCCCCTTTCCTACAGCACCTTCCCATATAACTGCAGAAGGTGCAACAGCTGCCCCTTCACCACGTCCCTGGTCACCATCCAAGGGCTTAAATGCTTTTCCAGGTGAAGCAGCATTTCACCTGTGCCTCCTCCAATCTTGTATTCAGTGCACCCAATGTGGCCTACTTCACATTGGAGAAACCAGACACAGACTGCATGACTGCTTTGTGGAACAGCTCCAGTCTGTGCACAAGCATGACCCTGACCTTCCCATAGCTGGTCATTCTAACACAGCATCCTGTTCATGTGCCCATTGTCTGTCTCTGACATGCTGCAATGCTCCAGTAAATCAAGCAGGAGCAATAACATCTCTTCCAATCCCTACTCCCAATTCCTCTGACTCTGCCGCATCTGCTTTCAAGAGGGGGTGTTCCTCTCCCACACATCGCAGATGTCCTCCTATTTCAAGGACCGTAACTTCCTCTCCGGTAATCAAAAATGCCCTCAACTGCATCTCTTGCATTGCCCACACTTCTGCCCTCACAGACCCTCCCATCTCCAACAAAAATAAAGACAGAATCTCCTACCAACCTCCACATCCAACTTATCATTCTCTGCCACCTACAATCCAACCCCACAACCAAGGAGATATTTCCCTCCCCACCCCTATCTGCCTTCTGTAGGGACCGCTCTTTCTGCGACTCCTTCATCTGCTCCACACTCCCCAGCAACCGCAGGAAGTGCCACACCTGCCCCACACCTCCCCCCTTACCTCCATTCAAAGCACAAAACAAACCTTCCACATTAGAGAAGGGTTCACCTGCACATCTGCCAACTTAGTCGACTGTATCCATTGCTCCCAATATGGCTTCCTGTGTGGGTGAGACTAAGCGTAGACTCGGAGACAGTTTTGTAGAGCATCTGTTCTCCGTACGCAACAAATGACAAACCTTCCAGTTACCAACCATTTAACTCCCCCTCCCATTCTTTGGGTGACATGTTCATCCTGGGCCTTCTCCAGTCTCACAATGACAGCACTCATGGAGGAGCAACACCTCTTATTCCATCTCGGGAGTCTGCAGCCTGATGGCCTAAATATGGAATTCCCCAGCCCCAGCCTCATCCCATGTCCAACCCTCCCTCTCATCCCAACCTCCTTGACCTCACACAATCTATCTTAGCTTCTCTCCCACCTATCTGCCCCTCCCATCCCAGTGATCAATGCCCACCATTCCCTACCTGCACTCACCTATCACCATCTCACCTACCTTCCCCAGCCTTACCTCTCCTCTATTTATTTCTGAGCTCCCTTCCCCATTTCTGAAGGGTCCCAACCCGAAACGTCAATGTTCCTGCTCCTCTGATGCTGCCTGGCCTGCTGTGTTCTTCCAGCTCCATACAGTGTTGTCTCATCTTTGGACTAAGCACTTTACAACATTCTGGATTTAATATTGAGTTCAACATCTTCAAATTGTTAATCCACTGCCATTCCTTCCCTTTCTTTTAGCTTTACTTGTTACATTCTCTGTCACCATGTCCTTTCTCCCCTCCCCCCACCCAAGTAGGACTCTTCTTTCAAGCCTGGCAGTTAGACACACCATTGTTCTGCCATTCTCACGTTCCAATCAATTAATCTGAACCATCAACATCCTTCCCCAGCCCCTCAACTATTGTACAAATGCTGCCACACCCACACTTGAGTCATGTAGCCTCAAAGTTGGCTTGCTTTCTCTTGATGAACGCTGCCTGACCCACTGTGATCGCCAGCATGTTTTGCTAACAGTGAAACACTAATAGTTTTACCTAAAAATGGATTTGAAAAATTTTGTTTCAAACTTTAAAAAGCCTGATTATTATATATTAGCAATAAATTAACACAGAAATTGTGGGAGAACAGTACACACAAACCATCTGTGCCAATTCTCACATACCCAGGAACAAAAACAAAGTTGTTGGAAAAGCTCAGCAGGTCTGGCAGCATCTGTGAAGGAAAAAACTGAGTTAACGTTTCGGGCCCGATGACCCTTCCTCAGAACTCACTGGACCAGAAACGTTAATTCTGTTTTTTCCTTCATAGATGCTGCCAGACCTGTTGAGCTTTTCCAACAACTTTGTTTTTGTTTCTGATTTACAGCATTCGCAGTTCTTTCGGTTTTTATTTGCCACATACCCAGGCTGATTTGAAGCCTGCCTAGCCAAAATAGAAGGTAAGGTGAACAGATTGACTTACTTGTGACCCTGTTCCATGATGCAGACATTGCCTCATAGCAGCAGGGATCCCACATAATCGAGTCTGGAATATAACAGTTACGTCACTTTATTAATAATCCACAAAATCTAAGTTCAAAGAGCTCCAGGTCAGTTTAAGATTTTAATTCTGTTTAAACTGTCTGGAAATAAAACTAAATAACCATTAAAAACAGGATTATCACAGAAATCCAATGGGTCAGCAATGTTCTTTCAAGCTGCCCATCCAACTTTACCCAGTGTAGTTTATTTGCAACTCCAAGCAACAATTGCTGACTCTTAACTGCCCCGCGAACTGGCTATCAAGTTGCTTGCTTGTATGTAAATGACAGGCTTTGTCATTTAGTAGTAGTAATGTTGTAATTCCCGTTTGTAGGCTTCTGGGAGAATGTGCTGGTGTAGAATGTGACCAAGTAGGAGTAGAGCTGCTATTGAAGACAGTGAGTGGTAAATCTTCATGTTTCTCTTCCTGAAGAGAGAGACACAGACCCTTCATCCTCAACTTCAGGCACCCAAACCCTGCTGAAGCTTTTTTTCATCTGGCAGTTCATTACTGATTACTTAGATGCTTGCCCTCAGAATGGCACCCTTAACATTATGAAATTAATTTGCTGCTGTGCTTACAGTACAAGAGAACCACAGTTACTGGAACTAGTTCTAACTAACGAGTTGTTTTGTCTCTGAAATATTTAGCTTATGAAGTGTTCAAGTAACCTAATTAAAATGGAATGTATTTTCATTGGTTTACTGACATTTTTGGAATAAGATACACTATCTTTGCTCAATGAATGTAAATAAATATTGCAAACCGGTGCCAGTTTACAAATTCAAATTATTTAACTTTAAAATTTGCCTACTTCAATTTGAATATCTTCAAAGAACACACTACACTGTAAAAGGAGGAAAGGATGATAGTTAAATAACTTCATAACTATGTATCATGAAACTGATCAATGCCTTACTGAATAAAGACAGAAAACGCTGAGATGTCACTACGCTAAAAAGAAAATATGCAACAGCTAAGCTAATATGAAGTCAGTTAAAATAATACAAATAATACTGTATAGAGTAGATGAATAAGGCAAGCTGAAAGTAGCACTTTCAATCTATATATGAAGGACCAACAAAAAAATGTCACTGGTGAGGCCTATGGTCATGTTGCTTAAATCAGAGTTTTGGAGATTAACGTACATTCACATAAACACAACTTTCCTAAAATAAAGAATTTATTGGAAAGCAACTGTATTTCATTAATCGGTCTACATCCTTCCGTAACAAACTCAGATATGCAAACGTTCTTGGGAGTCAGTGCATTCTTATTCCACAGTATAATAGGTGTGTATAGCACAACAAACAGGAGATAAAAACATTTTACAAATCAGAATATTTGACAACACAAAATGGTAAGGAACCTATAGAAAATTGAGATACTACAGATCTGTATTACCGTTCCCAAATGTGAGAGTGGGTGGGGATGTCGGCAGGAAGTGGGGCTTGGTGAAAGAACAACAGAAACCACAACATTCTGTACAGTAGTAATGGCACTTCCAATTGAGCATGCAGCTTATTTTAAATTGCTAGACAGTCAATTGCCCAACATGTGCAGTCTTGGCCTATCAGCTTCACAGAAGCAGTGGTACAGTGACCCCTGTCAGCACGGTCCTTAGTTGTACAGTGTTCTTGGCACTTGCAGTAGTGATTGCTTCTCATGTCATGGAGACCACTAGAGCCCTTGTTCAGGTAGCTTCATTCTTCATCACAGCAAACCTGGGAAAACAACATTCGGGCTGAGTTAATGTTTGAATGTTAGCAGCTTAGTTGAAAATAACAGTACACAATCTAGGGCTGAATGGTTGTCACAACACGTGGTTATGACCTGACAATCAACCCAACTGATGACATTCGTATTTGTAAAATAAACCAGTTTCAGAATGTGTCTTTTCTCAATTTTTAAGAAGGTATTAGTTGCATTACTTTTAAACTGACAGAAGCAAGAACAGCCAATTACAAAGCTGTCAACCAAGTGAGCTGACATGTTTAAAAAAATGGGGTCAACATATCCCAAAAAATCCCAAGCACAGGCATTATGTCCAAAATGTACAGTGAGCTCTGACAAAGAACAGTGTATAATCTATATCTTTGCATAATGCTGAGTAACACCATGCTACAAAACAAATGACACAGTAACTTGTATTTATGCTTACAATCCATGAGTTTTGCAACCTGACTGAAAGTCCTGAATTTGGAGAAGTTGGCTTTAGTTACACATTGCACTCTCATCAGTCACCTTAACAAATGGATGATCTAGGAGTTGACTAGACGTCCACCGGTGTTTTGGATCACTTTCCAGGCAATGAGACAGGAAATCTTTGCCTTCTGGACTTAATCTCTCTGGGATGGGAGGCTTGTGACCCATTCCTACCTTGTACATTATTTGGAAGTTATGTTCATATTCATGCCAAGGCCTCTAAAATTCAAAAAACAAAAGCTTTTAAATTATTTAAGCGTTCAGAAACTATTGAAATTAAATTTTAATAATAAAGTTTTATCAATAAAAAATATTCAGATTGTTCCACTAGTTGAGCTCAGTTGGCTGGACAGCCGGTTTGCGATGCAGAGTGATATCAACAGCGTGGGTTCAATTCCCAGATGGCCTAGCACCTGGCCTGAGGTGTGGTGACACTCAAGTTAAACCACCAGAAGTCATGTCTCTCTCTCTGACGAAGCAGCCAAATAGTCCTCTGGGACAATGATAACCTTACCTTTACCTTACAAAGGCTCTATTCACCTCTGTCTTAAAATAATTCAAAGACATTTCCATTGCCTTTTGAAGAACACTTCAAAAGACCCTTGGAGAAATGATGCCCTGAAAGGCCAACCCTTAATTTTAAACAGTGAGTTCTAGTTCTAGATTCCCCCAATAAAAGGAAACATCGCCTCCCTATCCAACCTGTCAAGACGTCTCAGGATTTTGTATATTTTAAATCAAATCCTCTCTTACTCTTCCAAACTCCAGAGGATACAAGCCTAGGACAAATCTCCCATTCCAGGTAAGCAAACTGTTTCTGTTTCCAACACAATTACATCTTTCTTTCTATATAAAGACCAAGACGCAGCACAGTATTGCAGATGTGGTCTGACTGGTACCTTGTTTATCTGAAATAAAACCTCTCTACTGTGGTATTCAATTTCTCTCACAATGACCACAGATGCAAGAATTGTCGGTCTGTGTTTTACAGCGTGACTGGTGACAGGATATCCAACAGACTGAGAGCATCATGGATATATATTTCCAGGAGAAATCATACCCCAATTGAAAGTGCACAGGCAAAGGAGGAATAGATCTCACTCTTCAACCAGTATTCAGTTCACTCACCATCTTGCCCCAAAAGGCCTCCTTCTCCAAGTCCTCTCTCCTTCCTCAGTTTCATGTTAAACTCTCTTTTCCCCTCACACAAATATCCTTTAACTTCGACTGAATCTGTCACTATCTTGGCTTCCCTCTCTCCTCTGAATCTTCCAAAGGCAGCACCAAGATCCCAATTCTTGTTTATGCTGAAATATGAGGTGTGTGGTAACTAGGGAAGGGACTATTTTATTTATAAATAATTAAGGAAAAGGAAATGAATAACTAGAAATCTGGCTAGCAACAATGACAGAAAATAACAATTCCCCCAAGTATTTAAATAGACAATGAGCCGTTAAAGGTGATGTTGATCCCCTAGAGTATACGCCTGGGGAATTGATAATGGAAAACAACGGCAAAGGTTTTGAACAGGTTTTTTTGTCTGTCTTCATTATAGAAGGACTTAGAAAACTTCCCTAAGTTAAGAGAAAGTCAAGAGTTTGAAAAGGAGTGAAGAACATAAAACAATATCACTGCCAGATATAAAAGGTTCTGGAAAGGCTAATAAACACATAGGGAGTCAAATTCCACAGGACCAGATGGTCAATTTCCTGGCATCTTGAAATAAATGGCCACTGAGACAGTGGGTGCATTTGTTACAACCTTCCAAAATTTCTAGATTCTGGAAAGGCCACAATGGATTAGAAAATAGTAAATAGGGAAAGAAAGCAGGAAACAATAAAGCAGACAGCCTAACATCTATCACAGGGAAATTGCTGGAATCTGTTATTAAAGACAATTACAGTGGATACTTAAAAGCATAATGTTATCAGATAGTGTCAACATGGCTTTGTGAAAGAAAAACTATACTTAGCTTTTTTTTCAGCAATTAACAAGCAAGGTGGATAAATTAGAACCTGTAAAAGGGATTTGTATTTCAAAAAGGCATTTGAAAAAGAGCCTCAAAGATTATTACACAAGATTAAGTGCACATTGTGTAGGGGCAAAATTTCAGCATGAATACAGGATTTATTAACTAACAGGAAGCAGAAAATAAAGATAAATAGGTCTTTTCCAGGTTGACAAACTATGTAGTTACTGGAGTGCCACAATGATCAATGCTGGGGCCTCTATTATTTACAATCTATATCAGTGACTTGGATGAAGGGACCCAAATTTATGGAAGCTATATATTTATCAATGGTGACAAGAAAGGTAGCAAAATATGTTAAGAGCTAGAAAATTTGCCAAACATGTGGATAGTTAAGCAAGTGGACAAAAAAAAACTTAGATGGATTTTATAATGAGAAAAAGTGAACTTGTCCATTTTGGTGCTAAAAATAGAAAAGCACTACACTATTAAATGGAGTGAAATTGCTAAACTTGGTGACAGAGCGTTCTGGGCATCCTGGTACATGAATTTCAAATTTAGTACTATGCAGACATAGGATGTGATTAGGAATGAAAATGGAATGTTGGCATTCATTCCAAGGGGAGTGACTAGAATACTGCAGTGTTTTGGTCTCTATTTTAAAAAGGATTTTAAATTACTTTAGATGCAGCACAAAGAAGGTTCGTAAGACTCACTCCTGGGATGAAGGGCTTAACTTACAAGGAACAGTTGAAGATATTGGGAATTTGGAAAACTAAGAGGTGATCTGATTGAAACATGCAAGATTGAGAAGACCTGACAGTGTGCACAACAGGAGCAGTTCCTTCTTGTGATGGAAGACTATACCTAAAGGCACACGGTCTAAGAAGAAGTTTTCCTTTTAAGATGGAGATGAGGAGTATTTTCTTTTTTAGTTATGTGAAACTCTTTTCTCCCAAATGCAGCAGAAGCTGAGAGGAGCTGGGGCACCAACGTGAAAGAAACAGAAGTGGAGAGTAACTTCCCACAGATGCTGTCTCTCCCTCACTGAGTTCTCCTCCACCCAAACTAAGCATGTTTTCCCACTTGCAATAATATGCTTGTGCCTAATATGCTTGGTTCGGAAGTGGTCTGTAGGGATGCCATACTATAAATGGATGACCTTCTGGAACTTTTCTCCCTGTTTTTGCTGTTTTGTGAGTTATCTGCGAAGTTGAGGTGAGTTTACTGTCACTACCATAACATCTGCAAGAGATACTCAGTCAAAGGGAGACAGAAGAGCATTGTAGGCACATCTTTGAGAACAACAAAAACAGCACTAATACTGGTAACTTAAACCAAAAAAAAAACTGGGATAGAAACAGCATGTGAAACAAAATTTTTGAAATGCATTCAGAAGAATTTTGTTTTAGCCATAACATAGAAAGACCAACAAATATTAATGTGGCTCTGGACTTAGTTTTAGGGAACGAAGCTGGGCCATCAGTTGTGACATGCTTCAATTGTTTATAATTCAGGTTTTGCTTGGGCTACTTGATGTTATCTTTGGTCAAATGCTACTTTGATGACAATAGCAGTCACTTTCACCTCCCAGAGTTCAGCTCTTTTTTGTCCTTGTTTGGACCAAGGTTGCAATGAGATCTAGAGCCAGATAGCCCTTTGCAGGTGCTGTTGATAGTAACCCCTCCTATCACATTGCTGATATAGATTGATAAAACATACTGGGCAGCTTTTCAGATCGAAACTAGTGTTGTAGCTGAAATAGCTTCACTAGGGACATGACTAGTTCTGGTCTACAAGTCTTCAGTACTACTGCCAGAACGTTGTCAGGGCCACAGCATTGGTAGAATTCAGTGCCTTGGGTTCAACATGGGAAAGAATTGCGTACAGCACCAAGCTTGTGAACATAGAACATAGAACAGTACAGCACAGTACAGGCCCTTCGGCCCACGATGTTGTGCCAAACTTTTACCCTAAACCTAAGGTCCATCTAACCTCCACCGCTACCTTGTACTATCATCCATATGTGATTTCTGTCTGTGGCCCATCCTGATACTACACTACAGGCTCACGTGGTGTGTTACTAGTATTGATCGATTTCTTTTGTTCTACAGTCAAAGAAGAGCTTTTAACAGAGTATGAATCGCTGTCAACTGTTATATTAAAATTAAGGCAACATTAACAGACTGACTCATATCTTGTAATTTCTCGGGTGTTGTCTGATTCAAACATCGTCTTTCTGAATGTGGAGGCTGAAGGAACCACTCCAAAACATCTCAGAGATCAACAGTTCTTTTTATGATTCATATTCTGAAGTGTTGTTCTAGATACGTGAATGAATCATTGGAATTTACATCAAAAAAGCAAATCAGCTTGATAGACATGGACAATTTTAAACTTTTCTGGACACAAACTAACAAGCTTAAGGAATAATCACATCGAATGGATATAAATCCAGCAAAAGCTTCAAGAATTCCCCATGAGGCACAGTGTGGAGGTGGCATAATTCCTACCTCTCCTGTGTTGTGAATAATTATTGCTTCAGGTCTATTTCTCTACACAGACATTTTCTGAAACACACAAATGCAAACTTTCAAAGTCATGTTAGAGTGAGTTTGAGGGGGTCTGGATTAATGTTCACTAATCCATGGACTGTTCTCTCTCTTTTCACACAGAGGATAGTGGATTGCCAATGAAACAGCAAATAAATATAACGATCTAATTACATTAGTCATGTGACCAATGCTGTTTGGTACATACAGCACACAAATACAAAGGTCGGATATCCCAAGGGCTTGCAAACACAGGTGATTCTCACTCAACTGATTTTTTTTCTAATATTAAGCTCTAGATTTCTGGTTGGGAATTCTCATCCTGTCTTCTTCAGAAATGTGGAGCAAAGCTGAAATCAACCCTGTAGAGCAAAATAGTGAAAGGAAGTCAAATCACCGATCCTTTTGCAAAAATGTGTTGTGTTGTGTTCTCAAATTTAACATGTCCAGCAGGACAGCCAGACACCGACAGTTCATGTAAAAGGTTAAGTATGCAAGCTAAATGTGGAATTACAAGTTGCCAGATGGATAGGGTACCAGGGCTGACAGTGAAAGGGGCTGGGGAAATTAGTCTCAGGGAATCACGTTGGGTTGAACGGAGTCTGTTTAGGTGTAAGGGATACCGGAGTCAAGGGATTGGAGGGAGTGGAAAAGAGGAGGAGGAGAAGGATTGATCACCTTAATTAGACTGTTTTAAAAATCCTCTAACTTTTCCTGGGTAACTATTAAAGAAAGCGGAAAAACAGAATTTTCTGACGCACTTTTTTTTTTTTTTTTAAAATGAGGGTTCCAGATGCAGGGAAATCACCCATCAGAATCATTAATTTCCCGGGAAATTCCTACAGATCTGCTGCATCGTACTGCTTCAGTTCAACTTCAACTATTATCTGAACATTGGAATACCAGGCTACAATTGCTGTTCTGCTCTAACTCCACTAAACTGGGAAAGGAGGACACCACAAGGTCACAGAAAGCCCTTTCAATCACCTGTCTCGTTGCATTTGAATCGTAGGAATGAAAATTATGTTCCAATTCAACCCAAACTACCTTCTTGCTGGCTGCAAAGTTATTACACAGTGTTGCGTTCACTAAAATATGTTTTCAATACTGAGCTCCATATCTGCCAACACTTAACTTCTCACCTTGCCTGTGACCATCTCCACAAGGACACATCCCAGGCTCCAAACATCTGCAGCACGTCCATGCCCTTCACCCTTTGCTCTAGTAATAACTTCAGGAGCCATGTAAGCTTTTAAAAATAAACAAAAAAGTGAGACAAATTGAGTTAATTAGAAATTGTTCACATTATAAACACCTCATTGCCTTTGAGCATTTTGGTTTTAGCAAGGAGCTGCTTTGTTTGCCAACACAACAGTAGCAGCTGCATTTCAAAGTAAGTCGAGCACTATGAAGCCTTTCAAAATGCTTCTGGGACATGAGAAAATGCAATATAAATACATGTCTTTTCTCTCTAGATATGTACTTCATAAAAATTCTGTATTCTTGGAGCTACCATTTTTCCACAGGAAATCCAGAACTAAGTTATGGAGGTGGTGGAAAGGTGGTTATTGTTCTGGAATAATAATTTATAAATCTGGACAAATGTTCTGTAGACAGATTCAAATCTTACTACAACAGCTGATGGAACTTAAATTCAATTAATTGATAGGAAATAAAAGTTAGTCTTTATATTGCTAACAATGAAACTATCATAAAGACTAGTTGATACATTTCACGAAACCTGCCATCCTTATTTGGTCCAGCCTACATGTAGCTCCTATTGCAGGCACTCTCAGTGGTACCATTTCAGAAAAAAAAAATCGAAAGGGAGCAAAACTGGACAGATCAACAAGCATTGACCTCAGTGCTGAAAAGACCAGCAGCATAGCCAGCCCAGTTGACTTTGCGAAGTCTTCTTCACTAACATCTGGGACTTGTATCAAAATTTGGAGAGTTGTCGGAAAAAAAAACTTATCGTAAGAACTGCTAGTAAAAACTGTCAATGCTGGAGTCAGAGATAAAACAATGTGGAGCTGGAGGAGCACAGCAGGCCAGGCAACATCACAGGAGCAGGAAAATTAACGTTTTGGGTCGGGACCCTTCTTCAGAAATGGAGGAGGGGGAAGGGAGCTCTGAAATAAATAGACAGGGGAGGGGTAGGGCTGGGGAAAGGAGGTGGGATGGCAATAGGTGAGTGCAGGTAGGGAGTGGTGGGGATTGGTCAGTGAGGTGGGAGAAGCAGATAGGTATGCTTCAAAACTTGCCCAGCAACAGCTTTACTGTCATACTACAGCCATTGTCCTAGACAGACAGCATAGTGGCATTCACTCGGGAAGAAGCTGCCCTGGGAATTCAATTTTAAGACTCAGGTCTTCATTAGATCTCTGGGTTAAACATAGTCAAGGAAAGCTCTTTCCATCTTCCCTCAGCTGATAAATCAGTTAACCTCTAAGTTTAGCACCTCTTGGAAAAAGTAGCGAAGGTAGCAAGGGCACAAAATACACTTTGGGTGGACACCTTCAAATGATCATCAGCAAAAGTGGGCCTATGACATATGGGGAGGAAAGCAAAATATAAAGCTAGCAGGTCTCACTCTCGTGGCTCAAAACTGTGCAATTGTGGGTGCTGTGGGCCATTAGTAGCAGAAGAATTACATACCACAATTTCAAACTCAAGGACCAGTATATATCCCATTCTACCACTACCATCAGGGAATAACCCTGATTCAATTAGGAGTGCCAGTAGCAACACAAGGCGTACCTAAGGTACCAATCTGGTGTTCCCACACAGGACCACCTACATTCACATTAGTAAAAGAAGCATACAAGAAATGTAGATTAATGATCTCACAACCAATGGATCAGATCAAAGTTCTACAGCCTGCAATATCCAGTCAGAACTTGACAGAACAGCTAATTTAATTGGAAAAAGATGCTTTACAAATATTCCCATTCTCAATTCTGAGGTAGTCCAGTATGCCAGTGCAAAAGACAAGGCTGAAGCATTTTTCACCATCTTCAGCTAGAAGTGTGATATGCCTGACCTCTCAGATGTCAGATTTAAAGAATTCAATTCAATCCACATGATATCAAGAAACAGCTGAAGATATTGAATACTGCTTAGCCAAGGGCCCTGACAAAATCCCATCAGCCGAATCGAAGACCTGTGCTTCAAAACAAGCTGTGCCCGTAACAGCCAAGCTGTTCCAGTACAGCTTCAACACAGGCATATACTTGACAATGTGGCAATTGCCCAGATATGACCTGTGAGCAAAATGGAAGACAAATTCAATTTGATTAATTACCACCCCAACAGTCTACTCATGATCATTGGCAAAGTGATGGAGATTGGCATCCAAAGTGCTCTCAAGTGACTTCCATTAATCTGGCCACTTAATGTTCAGCTTGGGTTCTAGTGATAATAATATTGTGGCAACCGGACCATAAGAAACAGAAATAGAAGGACATTCAATCCCTCAAGCCTGAACATGACTGATCTGACATTCCTCACATCCACTTTTCTGCGTTTTCTTCATAATCCTTGATTCACCTACTGATTAAGAATCCATCTCAGCCTTAAATATACACCAAGAATTTACTCCTACTCTTTGTATCGAGTTCCAAAGATACAAACCTCAAGAAATTCCACCTCATCTCAGTCTTAAATTGACAGCCCTTTATTCTATACTATGTCTTGTGGTCCTAGACTCTCCTATGTGTTGCATCTTTCTGTAGTTTTTCTCCGTTTAAATAATACTATTCTTTTTCTCTCCCGATACTAACTAGTCTACTTCACACGTAGCTAAACAATTTTAAGTACACAAAAATATATGCTGAATTATCAATATTTCAAATATTGATTATTTTCTCATCCTGAAATGTCAGGGATGTGGTGTCGATGTTAGGAACCATGCCATAATTGCACCGAAGTAGGATGAGAATGAAGAAGTTATGTGCTACTAAATGTCTTTAAGCTTTGAGTAAACATAAAATAAGCAGCCCTGGCAAGCCATTGGTGCACTTGCCATAGAGATGTGCAACTAACACATGTCATTCTGCATCACTTACTTAAAATGGCCTAGTATTCTGTGGAATGTATGGACAGTTAAAGGGTTAATTTATATACACAGGAGCTTTACACTCCCATCATTCGAATGTTGTTTAAAACATAATGTTAGCAAACAGCCAATCACAGGTTAAATTCTCTCATGACGTCAAGAACATAAAATGGGATTTGAAACGCAACCTCAAACCTCACTTATACTTTAGAGTCTGAGCCAAAGTAAAGCTGAAACCATTTCCATCAAATGTATAATGGATGTAGTGATATAAGCAGATGACTACATAGATATCGTAAAGTAGACTTCCACTAAGAATTCTCTTACCAGCAGTGCCAAGAGTACTATTCACTTCACCAGGCATGGTCTGTGCAATATTCTTCAGTTTTACTGAACAACCAAAGTCCCCCAGTTTGATTAGACCTGATGAGGTGAGGAAGATATTGGCACCTAAAATACAAAGACATCTTCAGTTTGAGCATTTCACTATACAGCCATACAGCACAGGAACAGACTTTTCATTCCAACTTGTCTGCGCCGACCAAAGGTCCCAACCTGACAGATTCCCACTTGCCAGCATTTGGTCCATATCCCTCTAAATCTTTCCTATTCATATAACCATCCAGATACCTTTTAAAGGTTGTAATTGTACCCCACTACTTCCTTTGGCAGATTGTTCCACACACACACAACCCTATGCATGAAAAAGTTACCGCCAAGGTCCTTTTTAAATCTTTCCCTTCTCACCTTAAACCTATGCACTCTAGCTTTGGACTTCCCCACCCTAGAAAAAAGACCTTGGCTTTTCAGCCAATCCATGCCTCTCAAGATTTTAAAAGTCTCTACAAGGTCACCCCTCAGCTTCTGATGCTCCAGGGATAAAAGCCGCAGTCGATTCAGCCTCTCCCTGTAACTCAAGATCTCCAGTCCTAGCAACGTCCTTGCAAATCTTTTCTGCACCCTCTGAAGTTTAACTTCTTTCCTATAGAAGGGTAACCAGAATTGTATGCAGTATTCCAAAATTGATCTCATCAATGTGCTGTATGGCTGCAATATGACATCCTAACTCCTATTTTCAATATTCTGACCAATGAAGGCAAGCCTGCTAATCGCCTTCTTCACCAACCTGTCTACATGCAACTCTGCTTTCAATGAACAGTGCACCTGCAGCCCAGGTCTCTTTGTTTGGCAACACTCCCCAAGGCCCTACCATTAACTGTACAAGTCCTGAAAACAGCAAAATTTCTGGCAAGTAAATAATTTCATAGCTCACTGCAAGACATTCTAATGTGATCTGTGGAAAAACAGATCCAATTTTTCTTTAGTTTTATCAAACAACAGTATTGTATTAAGAGTGATAATGATTAGTACTTGCATTAATTACAAATAACTGCCCTCCGTTTTTTGCGTCACAATAGCACAAACTATGGAATTTTGTGTCGAATATATTTAAACTGAATATGACTACTGAGATTAGCTTGCTGTACAATTTCAATTATGCACTTTTGTGCAAATGCATTACCCTTGATATCTCGGTGTACAATTCCATGTTCATGCAGTACATTGATTGCAGTGGAGATCTGCTTGGTGTACAATCGTATTACATGTTCCTGTAGACCCAGCCTAGCCACCTCTTCAAGTGTGCCTTCATCACAATACTCCATAAAGATATACATTTCTTCCTGATCCAAAGACAAACACCATGGTCAACATGTAGGTAGCTGTCAAAGTATCCAAGCATTTACACACATAATAAATGTTACATTTAATCACTAGAAACTGATGCATTGCAAAAACTTAAAGAGCAACAGAAAGACAAGCAAACAACCAGAAACTTCACAGAGTGAAGGCAAAACATGACACATGCTGGAAATCTGAAACACAGAATACTGGAGAAGCTCAGCAGGTCTGGTAGCATCTGTGGAGATAGCAACAGAGTTGACATTTGGACTCGAGCAAAACCCTGATTCAGAACTGAAAAGATATTGAGAATTTTTTTTTTTTTTTTTTTTTAAAACTTTTGACATAGGCAAAGGCCCAACGCAGAAGACAAAAGAGGTTGTAAATGGTGGAGAAAGAAAGGAGGAGACGCAAAGGTATATAAGGGAGGGAAGGGATCCTCTATATAGACAACAAAGTAAGGTGTGGGGTTGGAAATGAGACAGAAATGGAGAACAGATATCATGTGATCAGTTTCTGAAGTTGTGGAACTCAATACTGAGACCTCAAGGCTGTAAAGTGCATAAGTGTAAAACAAGGTGCTGTTCCTCAAATTTGTGTTGTGCTTTGTTGGAACGCTGCAGCTGGCCCAGGACAAAAATGCTAGCATGAGAGCAAGATGGTTTATTGAAATGATAAGCAACTGGGAGGTCAGGATCATTGCTATGGACAGAGCAGAGATGTTCTGCAAAGCAGTCACCTAGTCTGCGTTTGGTTTCATTAATGTAAAGGAGACCACATTGTGAGCAGTGAATGCAGCAGACTAGACTGAACGAATTACAAGTAAAACACTGGTTACCTGAAAGGTGTGTTTGGGACCTTGGATTGTAAGGATGGTGGTGGTGAATGGGCGAATGTTAGACCTTCTGTGATTTCCTACGAAAGGGCCATATGGGGGAGAGTGAGGAAGCATCAGGAAGAGTGGACCAGATTATGACAGTCGGATTGGTCCTCATGGAATGCTGACAGTGGAGGAGAGGGGAAGATATGTGGCATCCCGCTGGAGGTGGCAGAAATAGCAGAGGAAGATCCTCCACAAGTGGAGACTTGTCCGTTGAAAAGGACGGACAAGGGAAACCCTATCACTGTCATGGAAAAGAGGGAAACGGGTGAGGGCAGAAGTCTGCCAATCTCAGTGGAAGTGGAATCTTTGGTTGAGTGAAAGAAAAAAGATCATGTCACAGGCAGTCCAGTGGAAGGTGGCACCAACAGAATAGATGTGGCTGAGACGGTGAAACTTGGAGAATGGAATGGAATCCTTGCAGGAGGCAGGGTGTGAAGAAGAGCAGTTGAGGTAACTGTGGGCTTGTAATGGCTATTGGTGGATAATTGATCTTCGAAAATGGAAACAGTGAAGTCAGGGAAGAACCTAATGAAAAAGTGAGAGAAGGATGCAAGTTGCAAGCAAAACTGATTAATTTTTCTCAATATGGATGAGAGCAGGAAACATCAGTGTATCGGAAAAAGACTTGTGGGTGTGGACCCAGAACAAGGCTGGAACAAGGAGTGACTTAAATCTTCCACAGACAGGCATAACTGGCACCCATGGCCACACCTCTGACTTGGAGAAAATGAAGTGCATTAAAAGAAGTGTAGTTCAGTGAGAACAAGTTCAACTCGGAGAAGAAAGATGGTGATGGATGGAGACTGTGCAGGCCTCTTTTCATGTAAGAAATGGAGAGCTTTCAGACCATTCTGACGGTGAGTGGATGTGTACAGGGATTGCACATTCATGGTGAAAAAGAGCTGGGTGGGACCAGAAAACTGGAAATTATGGAACTGATGCCAAGCATCAGAAGAACCACAAATGTAAGTGGGGACAATCTGAAGAAAAGAAAAATAAAGTCATAGAAAGAGACAGGAAGAAATAAGCTCAGTGGGGCAGGAACAAGCTGAAAATGATGGATCTACCAGGGTAGTCCTATTGATGGATTTTGGGAATGAGGTAAAAATGAGCTGTGTAGGGTTGGGGGACTATGAGGTGCGAATTTGTGGATGGATGATCATCAGAGGGGGTGAGATCTGAGAGAGTCCTAGAACCTACAGTCTGGTGTTAAATGGTGGTCACGATCCAGTGGGATATAGGAAGTGTCTGAGAGTTGACGCTCAGCCTCTGCCAGGTAGAGGTAAGCACGTCAGACAACAGCCACACCTGAGTGTGCAGAGTGCAGCAGTTTCAGAAGGAGACACTTTATATTGGGTGAGTAGAGCAGAGAGATTAATGTCACAGTGGCAGTTCTCAATGTAAAGATCAAATACAGCTAAAAGGCTAGAGGGAGGGTCCAGGTGGAGAGGGAGTACTGGAGATGGGTGAACCTATCTTTACAGTGAGGAGAGGGCTCGAGAAGTGGGCACGGACATGAAGACAAAGGAAGGAGAGTTCAGAGTCAAGTCTTGCCCGAAATACATTAAAGTGGGGGCGTAAGGGGATAAAGCGAAGTCCTTTACTGAGCACAGATGATTCAGTAGAGAGGAAGGTCAGAACGTATGGTAAATACATGGCAAGAAGTGGGAAAGACCTGAAGGATCCAGGAGGACATCAGCACCCTTGATGGAGCTCATGTTGTCATTTTCAACTTAAGCACTTTGTAGCCTTGAGGTCTCACTATTGAATTCAACAACTTCAGAAACTGATCAGATTAATGTCTGTTCTCGAATTTTCTTCATCTTTCTTTCTGTCTCTCCTCCTCTCTCCACTCTCCCATGTCCCAACAACCTTGTCTTCTTTAATGTGCTATTACCATACAGGACTCATTCCCTCCTTTTCATACTCAAGTTACACCCATTTTACATCACCTTTTCTTTCTCCACCATTAACAACCCCTTTGTCTTTTGCACTAGGCCTCTGCCTCTGTCAAAAGCATTTTAAAAATCCCAATTTAAGTTCTGAAGAGTCATACTGGACTTGAAGCAGTAACTCTTTCTCCCTCTGTAGATGCTGCCAGACCTGCCGATTTCCTCCAGCATTCTCTGTTTATTTCGGAGAGTGATTTTGTACTGCAATTGGGATCAGCACTCAGGCTCAAATGCAGAATTTTCACCCGTTACTTTTAACAGGTATAAGCCCCCAGGCTCCATGCAAACAGTACTCCACCTAATGGTGTAGGATTGGCTCTTTCCAGTCTTTGGAAGCAAAGTTCCAATTATTGACAGTGCAAGCAAGAGGAGTCTTTAATCAGAACCAGTTCTTTCCTCTACTAAGTCAAGTCAAAATGCAATCCAGAAGAGGAAGGGAGGTGTACTTAAATTGTCAATGATTATTAAATCACAAAACAGAGAAGCTAACATTGATTTGGAACAAAATGCTCTTAGATTAAATTAATAGGCCAAGAGAGAAAGGAACATACATAACATCTGTATGATTTGACTTCTCAAACTGTGCGCAAGCAACAAGTCACAAAACATATACATTAAAAAGGTATTATATTCACAATGACTACAATTTGACTTTAAACGCTTTACATAACTCATCAAAGCTGTGTCATGTTAAAATGGAAACATTTTATCTAGCACTGACAAAATATAATAGAAGCAGAAAATGCTGAAACCCTCGGGAAATAGCAATGAAAAGAAAGTATGGTTAAAGTTTCAGACCAAAACATTTTCTTCAAACTTAAGCAGTCCTCTTAAGACAGTCTACAAGATACATGAAGTGCTGCAGGTATATCTTATGAAAAATAAAAGGAAAATCAGGTAATTGTTGTTCACTCTCTGCCTTTGTTCTAGTTAAGTATCTTTGTTACTTTGAAAGATCTCTCCTTCGTCAAAACACAAGAGACATTAGATTCAGACAGTATTCAAATCAGAACATTATTGCTCCTCCTCCTAGACGCCCTCTCTTGAAAATGCTGACTTGTGCCAGGGAGCAGACCAAGACCTCAATTATTCCTTTAAGTTTGTTCCATATTACCTATTGTCATTGTCTAGTCCCAAGAGTAAAGACATTAGCTCAAGTATCTCTAGTACATATTTCCATTTGAAAGTATTTTCTGAATGGGGACATTGCATTTAACTATGTAGGAGTTCTCTGTTTTCTGCTTCCCACAATTTAAAATGCTGCCTCGATACATGGAAATATGGAGGAAGTCAAAGTAATTAGCTTTTCACTGTAAAAGATGCAGTGTTTGAAGAGAGATTTAAACAAATGGAGAAGAGTATTTAAATTACTTACTCTGTGCAGTTCCACACCAAAATACCGCACCAGGTTTGGATGTTTGATGCCTTCAAAAATTTTCAATTCATCTGCTGTCTCCTTGATTGTTTTATGATCATTCGGCTGGAATCTGATCTATAGATATTAAGAACAACGAAATGTAAAGTTTGTGTGAAAGAAGGCACTGCATTTACACAGAATCTTTCAGAAGCCCAGGGCATTCCAAAGTGCTTTACAGATAATTAAATGTGTGCGGTCTGGACCAGAGTCATGAAAGGTAAAGGTAAAAGTCACCATACGACTGCTCTCTCATGAGAGAGAAATGACTGGTGCTGGTTCATTTTGAAGTCACCACACCTCAAGCGAGGGGAGAGTTTGAGAAGGAGCATCCTTCACAATAACCACAGCTAGTGTGGGGATTGAACCCATGCTGTTTGGCATCACACCACAGTCATTATTGATTCTTGAATTTCTGCAAGATCTCACAAACATGATCAAGTAAACTGCTGATTAAATATGGTCTTGGATTCTGGGGAGAACTGCGTTTCTTCAATTTGGTACCATGGGATTTTTTTTTACTTTTCTTGAAAGGATAGACAGACATCAGTTTCACGTCTTATCTGAGACTGCGCCTCCAAAAATGCAATCTTTCCCTAGCACTGAAATGTCATCACAGATTGTGTATTTGATTCTCTGTAGTGAGGTTAACCTTGTAACTCAGAAGACATGACTGCGAACAAACAAGCGACAAATGAAAGCAATAGATTGTAAATGCAATCACACCATTTGCACTGACGTGAAAGTCAAGATTACTACAACTTGTTCGTCAATCCAATTGCAATGACTTTTAAAATAAATATAGGGATTAAATAAAATACAGAATTAATCATGTTGATGTATTTCCACTTGAACAAACCAGAGTAATCTAGTGCAGTTTGTACATTAACCATGCTGTCTACATCACTGCCAAATTTGGCAGTATGGAAAACATGGGGTAAAAGACATGAAACTTAAAAATTATCGCCTGTCAAAAAACATCCTCTTACTCAGAAAGGAGCTGTTTCCACCCCTGTTAATCCTCTCCATTACCCCTACCAGGAGTGCCATGTTTGCTTCTTACCCAGCCAATTATATTACTACATTTATTACATAATGAACTGAGTAAAAGAACAGGAATAAAACATATGGATATATTATCTTCCAATCTTGTAATAAAGTAAAAATATTTTGTACATTCTCTGAGGGATCTTGAATGTCTCTATTCCAGAAGCTACTACCCTGAAATGTTTAGACTCTCCATTTATGAGGAACCTTTAACTCCATGAGGTTATGGCAAATTTTGATAAAAACCATACCCTTGGTACAGAATCTTGCCAAGCTGGAATGCATTTTAGGAATTCTGGCACCTGTTCATAATTTTTGACCATTAAGGATGCCAATACATTCTTGAGATACATGTTGCAAGGCAATGATAGATTTCTGAGCATAATTTCATGAATGTATCCCCTTTCGCACACAACTCCTGTGCAAGAAGTTACCAGTGCAGGGATTGAGCATATCGTTTATTATTTGCAATTGCAAGACAGAACCCATCACTGCTGATTTGTCTTTCAATTTCCCAATGGCTTAAAGCTGTACATTTCTTCTGTCATTCTATTTTCCCCAATGGTCAGAAGCAGCTGGCGGGTTGATGACTAGATCAAGGTCAGTTTAACGCAGCACCCTGGGCTGGCATTGAAACTGCCCACCCTGTGACCTTTCGACTACTCTAGCTTTTGAAATGCAAAGTGAACACGAATAAGCCTGTGCAAGCAAGAGTGAAGTTAAACCGAAGGTGGAATGCAATAGCCTGAAATCATCTGAGATTTTTCTTTAAAAAGGTGAAATGCCTTCTCATTAAGCTATTCCATAAGAATGCAATTTCCCTTCAGATCTCCAAACCACACTTGGACATGAAGGGAAATGCATACAGTTGGACTTTGACAAAGTGAAGGACTGGTGTTAACAGAGGTGCCTCCTGGGTAGGGATAGGATAGTTTGATTGACACAGGATAGAGTGCAAAGACAGCAAGCCTTGTTACAGGGGTCTGAAAACCACAGGGCAAGTCACAATAAAAAGTCACATTTATTTTCTAGACAGTAAACAGATTTCCATGTAATGCTTCTGATGTTTTAAAAAATAAAAATTACAATTAATTTCAAAAAGAATTCATTCTGTGCAGTTAGAACAACACCTACAGAGATGGAACAAAAATAATTCTCTCTACAAAGGATGAAAAATCTGAACATACCTTTGGAGCCTCTCCTTCTCATTAGTTTGATTTTTAAAACACTTTTCAGTATCCCAGTGTCTGAGAAAGGTACTTGTTTTATTTCCCCATTACCTCAATTTCTACTGTTCTTCTGTTCCGGATGTTATTAGACAGTATATCAATGGATTTGGCAGACAATGCAACAGAAAACATGTAGAAAACGACTTCCTAAAACAAAAAATACTTACTTCCTTCATTGCCATTAGCTCTCCAGTATCAACATTTATACAAGTGTACACTTTTCCATACTGTCCTTCACCTGAAGAAACAAAGTATATTATTTTTACATTAATGCCAGTGCTTTTAAATGGCACCGAAGTGAAAGAGATGGCCTATCTTTTTTACAAGTAGTTTGGTGTGTTATATAAAACAGACGTAGACTCTACCACAGGCAAGAAAATATCCTCCACACTGCATGTGGCTTAAAATGTCTCAAATGAAATAATTCTATACAAAGCAAAATCTGTAAACTCAAATAATGCAACGCTGGATTTACGAGAACATCATGCTAATTTTAGTCAACCTCACACAAAGCACTTGCGTGAACTGCGTGCAGGCACAAAGTGAAACACCTTTTTGAGTTGATGTGACCATCTACAGGTTGAAGTAATGCAGTAATCAAAAGATTCTTGCAAATAACACCTAAATTAATTTATGTATTTAATGCTAGCCAAGTCTTTGCTCATTGAACCACAATAAAAAATTTGATGTATGTTTGATATTTAAATAGAAAATATATTGGGTTACAACGACAATGATGTCAACAAAAATGAGTTGCATTTATAGATCAAGTTCTGTTGTTAAGAACAAGTAAAAATTGGGTAGTTCTTGAAAAGTAACAACACTTTAAAATCTATCATTTTGGTACATGGCAAATTTTTAAGTATAAAATGTCGTGACCATCCACTTCACATTTTGTAAATCACTACTGCATTAAGAACCACTATTGCTGACAAGGGTGATGTTTTTGTCTGGCGTACTGACCTCTATGCTATGGAGGCTGAGTGCTAGCTCCCGGACATCACCTCCTATCTCTCCCTGGATCATGACCCCTCCATTGAGCATCAGGCCATTGTGTACACAACGGTCACCAACGTCATCTTATCTGGGGATGTCCCCAAAATCCACAAACAGGACTGTCCGGGCAGATCCATGGTTTCTGACTGTTCCTGCCCCATGAAACATATTTCTTCCTACCTCAACTCAATTTCTTCTCCTTGTCCAGACCCTTGCCACTTACATCCGTGATTCTTCTGATGCTTTACATCGGTTTCAAATTTGTAGTTTGTGGGCAGTAGCTGCATCCTCTTCACCATGGATGTGCAATCCCTATACATATTCTTCTCCCCCATCAGGATGATCTCAAGGTCTGCCACTTCTTCCTGGAAAGAAGGCCAGAACCATTCCCTTCCACCACCACCCTCCTCGCTTGGCCAAGCTCACCTTCACTTCGAACAACTTCTTTAATTCCTCTCACTTTCTTCAGGTGAAAAGTGTGGCATTGGGTACCCTCCCTCTTTGTGGGGTACAAGTAATGTTTATTGTTTCAATCCTACTCAGCCTCCATTCCACACTCTTTGACCAGTACACTGAGCACCAGTGATGTCATCATTCTGAACGGGAAAGTTTTACTAATTTTGCTTCCGATTTCCACCTTGTCTCACATTCACCTGGTCCATTTCGGACTCCTCCCTTTCCTTCCCCGACATCTGTTTCCATTTCTGGAGACAAGCTCGCCAAGGACCATTACAAACCCACCGACTCCCAGCGTTATCCTGACAAGCATCCTCACACTGTGATTCCTGTAGGGCCTCCATCGCATTCTCCCAGTTTCTCTGTCTCCATTGCATCTGTTCTAATGATGCCACTCTCTACAGGGGGGAGCCTCAGAAATGTCCAACTTTTTCCTCAACCAAGAAGTCCCTGAGACCATGTTCCACCAGGGCCCTTAGCCATGGTTGGCCCATCTCCTGCACTTCTGCTCATACCTCTTCCCTCCCACAACAGTGAGAGAGTCCCTCTGGTCCTCTCTTACCACCCCATGAGCATTCACATCCAAAAGACTGTAAATCACTATTTCTTGTCAACTCCAATGGGAAGCCAAAACCAGACACATATTCCCTTTCTCCACTTTTTGTCAGCATTCCGCAGGGATCATTGTAGTATGCTCCTCCTCCATTCCTAACACCTCATGCCCATACGGCTCCTTCCCATACAATGGCAGAAGGTGTAACACCTGACCGGTTATCTCTTCCCTCCTTACAATCCTAGGTCCCGGGCATACCTTTTTCAGCAATATACTTGTATTTAGTTCGATTTGGTCTAATCTACTTACTGTTCACAATATGGTCTCCTCTACACTGGGGAGACAAACACAACAGCTTCGCAGAACATCTATGTTATGTCCACAGTAGTGGCTCACGAGTTTCCAATTGCCTGCCATTTCAACACATCACCATGCTCCCTGGCCAACATTTCTGTCACAGGCCTACTGCAGTGCACCAATGAGTAAGCTTGAAGAACAACACCTCATTATCTGCCTTGGGATCCTGTGGCCTCCAGGACTCAACATCGAGCTCAATAACTTTAGAGCTTGATACCATCCTTCTATGTTTCTTACACACCCCATCACCAATCCTGTTTATAACATAAGTTGTTTTTAAGCACAGTCACCCTATTTTCACCCACTCTCAGGCCTATCATCATATTACATGGCTTGCTTTCAGCACAGACTACCCATTCTCTGTTACCCTCAGCTCTCCACTATCACTTATTCAGCTTTTTTCATCCTGGCCTACCATCCATAATCACCTTATCTATCCCTTTCATATCGCTCTCCGGACTCCATCTCCACCTATCTGCTCGCTTTTCCACCCATTCCATCTCCATCACAAAAAAACCTTGTCTTCAGCTTAAATATCTGTTTTGATGAGCTGTTATTGGTTTTGATGACTTGTCACTGGACTTGAAATGTTAATTCTGCTTTCTTCCCATAGATGCTGCTGGACCTGCTGAGTTTCACCAGAAGTTTCTGTTTTTATTGCATTAGGAGGTATGGGTTGACAATTTCAGATAAACAAGTGACAGTTATTTTTCATTCAGGCTTATGCTTTATCAGGCATCAAACAGCAGTTCCGATCTCATCTTTGTTGCAATACTGGCACAGAAAATCACAGATAATTATTTAAAAGGCTGAATTTAAACTTTTGAATGTGGTGCTGGTGAAGGGATTATTTGATGATGAGGACTCACCATTAAACCCGCCGACGGAGGGGGGGTGGGGAGGGGGGGCGGGTGGCAGTATGATCACCTGATCTTTACATTGCTGAGGCCAGACGTTAACTCTCTGACACCTCCTCCTACCGTCCCCATGATCACCAAGCCATCATCTCCGAGACCATCAACAACTTCATCACCTCAGGAGATCTCCCGTCCTGGGCCTCCAACCCGATAGATCCCCAACCCCAAACTGCCCTTTTCTATCTCCTACCCAAAATCCATAAACCACTCTGCCCCTGTTGACTCACTGCCTTGTCTGCTCCTGCCCCACCGAGCTCATCTCCTCTTACCTCAACTCCGTTCTTTTACCTTTGGTTCAGGAACTCCGCACCTACATTTGGGACACAACTCACGCTCTCCACCATTTCCAAAACTTTCAACTCTCATGCCCCCAACACCTCATCTTCACGGTGAATGTTCAGTCCCTGTACACCTGTAACCCCCATGAGGATGGCCCAAAAGCCCTCTGCTTCTTCCTCTCCCATAGGCCCAACCAGTCCCCCTCCACTGACACACACATTCGCTTGGAGGAATTGGTTCTCACCCTCAACAATTTTTCCTTTAATTCCTTCCTACAAACCAAAAAGGGTGGTCATGGGCACTCGCATGGGCCTGACCTATGCCCACCTTTTTGTGAGATTCAAAGAACAGTCCCTCTTCAACAATTAGACCAACACCATCCTGCAACTCTTTCTCTGCTACACTGATGACTATCGGCGCAGCCTCGTGCTCCCGCAAGGGGCTCAAACAGTTCATCAACTTCGCCAACACCTTCCACCGTGCCCCCGAATTCACCTGGGCCATTTCTGACGCCTCCCTCCCCTTCCTGGACCTCTCGACTCCATCTCTGGTAATTGATGCACCACTGACATCCCTTTCAAACCCAATGACTCCCACAATTACCTCAACTACACTTCCACTCACCCACCGTTCTGCAAAAATGCTATCCGATACTCTCAATTCCACTGCCTTTGCCGCACCTGCTCTCAGGGCATCCCAGATATCCTCCTACTTTAGGGACCGTAGTTTCCCCTCCTCTATTATTAAGGATGTCCTCAACCGCATCTCCCCCATTGCCTGCGTTTCTGCTCTCAGACACTCTCTCCCACCCAACCCAACAACAAGGATAGAGCCCCCTTAGCCTTCTCGTACCAACCTCCTACTACAACGCATCATCCTCCGACATCTCTGCTACCTACACAATCAGACCCCACCACCAAAATGCTATTTCCCAAACCACCCTGTCCACTTTCTGCAGGGACCGTTCACTCCGTAACTCCCTCATCAACTCACATTCCTCACCAACCCCTCCTCCACACCTGCAATCACAGGAGGTGCAACATTTCCCCTGTACCTCCCCTTTCACTTCCATCCAAGGCCCCAAACAATTCTTCCAAATCTGGTAGAGATTCACCTGCACTTCATTTAATCTCATCTACTGTATCACTGGTCCCGATGTATATCAAGGAGACCAAACACAGATTCGGGGACAGGTTTGCGGAGCACCTGCACGCATCAACCAGCCCAACCTTCCGGTTGCCATCCACTTTAACTCCCCTTCCCACTCCCACTCCCACTCCCCTGGTCCATCCTTGGCCGCCTCCACTGTCAGAGAAGCCAAATGTAAACTGGAAGAACACCACTTCATATTTCGCCTCTGGAGCTTACAGCCTAATGACCTGAATATTGACTTCACCAGCTTAAAAATCTCTCCACCCCAACCTGACCATCTTCCTACTCACCTATCGCTCCACCCTTCCCACTGACCAACCACAATAACCCCCTACCTGCATCCACCTATCTCCACCCCACTTATGCTCCCAGCAGCACCACCCTCAATTAATTTCTGGCCTCCCCTCCCCCTCCCCAGCCCTGACGAAGGATTTCGGCCTGGAGCACTGACTTCCCTGCTCCTTGAATGCTGTCTGACCTGCTGTGCTTCTTCAGCTTAATGTCTATTGACTCTAGCTTCAAGCATCTGCAGTCCTTACTGTCTCCAGATAGGAAACAAACCATTGAGAGTAAAAACCAAATCAGTAATCTGGCTGAATATGATAAAAGAAACACCTTTATGATGTTGTTTTAACAAATCTAGTATTTAGAGCATTTATATTGCCATTTTAATAATTCTGCAATGCCTTTTTCTAAATTATTGATCCCTATTCCTCAATATGAATTTGAGATTTGAGTTTATTCACTTTCTAAAATGTACCTCAGCAGTTTGAGACTAATTAATTAGTTATATGAAAAAAACCACTGCAGCTGTGGAACTACATTGACCCAGAAGGCCTCGAGCTGTGGCCTGAACATGAAATTAGCTGATCAATGCTGTGCAAAAGTAGGGTTGCCACAATTGGCAAGCTGGGCTTCCACTGATCATTATTAAATGCTCCCTGCTTAAAATGGAAATGTACATAACAGTGTTATGATAAACCCAGGTCAAATATCAAACTCAGAAGGGTCACTGGACCCAAAACATTAAATTTGCTTTCTCTCCACAGATGTTGCCAGACCAGCTGAGTTTCTCCAACAATTTATGATTATGCTCCAAATATGAAGTGATTTATGTTAGCTATGGCTTAGTTGGTAGCATTCTTACCTTGGAGACAAAAGATGTGCATTCCAGATCCATTTCTAAGAGAAAAAATAAGACTGACACTTCAATGCACTCCGCAGACTTCTGCACTGTTGAAGGTGCTGTGTTAAGGCTGAAGAGGTAAATTAAGACCAAGTCTGCCCTATCAGGTGTCTATATTTTAATATTTTATGGCATAATTTTGAAATACAGCAGAGGGATTCACTGTTCTGGCCAAGATTCATCTCCCAATTCAGATAGCTGAAACAGATTTTCTGGCTTAATCAATTGCTGTTTAAGAGCACTTACTGCACACAAAATGACTGTATTCACTGTTGTGGGAAAACCATTCTAAAGTACATTGTTGACTGTAAAGTGCTTTTGAATTGCTGGTGACTACAGAAATCATGATATTAATGCAAGACTTTATTTATCAGGGTCAGCTGTGATATCACCATACATAAATCTCCTGTTCACTCACTCTCTACTTTCAAACATTTAGAATTGCTATCTGGGGGAAATTGCAGAGGTTCGTGCGCATCTGGAGGTCAGTATCCTGCTGCAAATTTGGACTTCAGCAGGAATATTTTTCAATACTCAGTTTCAAATTTCTGTATGCGAGAACTGTGTAAATTGAATGCATATTTTTACATCCAAAACTCTGACATTACCTATCTTGTTTCCTCTCTGCCACTTAAACGTCACTTTTCTTAATCCAACTTGCATGACATTATCGTACGATTTGGGAATGTCACAGACTTGGCCAATGATATTCTTTTGCTTCATTTGCCGGTTCTGTTGCTCCTCAAAAGATTTAATTGACTTGCGGACAATGTCAATTCGACTTTGCTTAGCAGCTATATCTGGAAAACCAAACAAACATTCAATTTGTAACATACATCAAAAAATGACAGGCTATAGCCATTCGCAAGATCTTTTTGCCTTCTTCTCCCATGGTGCTTAATGCCTGCATAAGACCTCTGTAGATGATGCAACATCTCGTATACAAAAAACTCAATTTTTTTCACTTTGCTGCATGTTTCGCAGATTAAATCCTATTTTAAGTAAATTGAACTCCTGATTCTTGTCAGCAGTTCATGCAGAATTGCCATCACCATCTAGCAAATCAGAGAAAAAGGTATCAAGGCTGAGAAGAAATATTCCAACAGGGATAATGTAAATTGGATGAAAGGGGTTTCCAACAACTGAATGGAGACTTAGAATGTACCATGGCATTGAACTGACCAATTGTTTCCTTAATGTTAAGGGTGTGCTAAGTTAACTGAATCTCAGCAAAGGGGCCAGTAAGTTTCCTGAAATTATTTCAGAAGGGAAATCAGCGACTTGTGCTGGAATCACTACAGAGATCCCTGTAACCGAACAATTGCCAATAGAACAAGCCCTTCGATAACGTACCACAGGTGCTTAACCCCTGCCGAGATACGTGCCAAACATCAGTCACCATCCACATGAGGAAGGGAGGAAAGATATAAAATTAAGAAACATGCTAAAATTTGTACTACTAACCAAAGTGTAACTGCAAACATCAGGGAACGCAAGGGACTCAGGAACTGTGGGAGGCAGGAAGGTGAAGTTGAGATAATCAAATCAACCAAGATCTTACTGAATGTTTGGGCAGGCGTCAGAAGGGTAAAATGGCATATTTCTGCTCTTAATTCTTATATTACTATGGAACACACAAAGATATGCCAAAGCCCAATATGGCCAATCTAAGTTTTACTAGAAAGGTTAAGTCTTTTCAGATTGTTTAGAAAAGTTATCCAGTGAGTAACTGAACTACTAAGAAGCGACACAATCCAAAAACAATGCCTAGTTAGTGCTCGTTTAGTTAATCTCAGCTGGGAAAGTACAACCATCTTACAGCATAGTTTAACAAAGCAAAGCAGTGTCTAGCTCCTGATCAATATATAGCAAATCACACGGAAATGGTATTTGTTTGATACATTTGTTCATGACTTGTTCTCTGCTGGGCTGAGGTTTGTCTGCACCAAACACCTTCTGGAGAAGGCAAGAAGAAAATCAACAAGAAAAGGGGAAAAAAAATGCTCAGTTTTCACTTGCCTGCCTTTTAAACTTCTAATTACCCAATGGCTGTCTGGTATACACACAATTTATACAGATTTGTGCAATGGTTTTCGGAGCATGGACACGTAATATCAGATGTAAACAAAATGACAAGCTGTGCAATAGCCCAGGAGCAATACACACAGGTGACAGGAAATAAGATTATATTATATTGTAATTGAGGAACTACAGTCACAATTATATTTCAATATATTGAGACATGACAAAGTACAAAAATGTGAAATCAAATTGTAGTGCAATCAAATATCATTAAATACCAGCACATTCCAAACATCAAGAAAATGGCAAGTGGCATTGGTCAGGATACATGAAACCATTACTGGAGGATAAACCTAAAACGTGGGCAAGTGAAAACTTCAAAGTATATACAGTATTCCAACCCCCATACAACACAAAGCACTCGTACTTTTACCCATTACACTCATACAAGAAATTCCATTTGCCTTACAAATCACTTGTAGTATCCGTACAGTAGTTCTACTTGATTCATTTACCTGGACACCGGATCCCTCTGAATCTCAGAATTGTGCAATATAAATTATGTAATTACATTATTTTCAATTTTTCCTGCCAAAGTTGACAATTTTGCCTAGAAGATTTGTGGATACTAATTTGTTGGGGCCAAGGGAACTGAAGTCAAGATGGCACTTTTTTTTTTTTTTTTAAAGAATAGAACTATGGCAGCAAGATAAAAATGCAAAATATTCTAAACAATGTCAAGAACTCCCCTTTTTTTACAGAATAACTTTGAAATTGCATCAATTGGCATATTCAGAATGATGTTCTTACCTTTTGGCTGACTTAACAGAGAGCGAAGCTCCCAGCTTCTTCGTGCGCTAACATCTCCTTTAGGATATATAGGTTCTGGAGAAACAAAGTAATTCAGTCATTCAAGTTTACAACTACAATGTGATTAATATTGAAAAGATGCCAAACACAACAAACAGCACATCAGTCTTAAATCCAGTCAACAATGAACCAGTCTCAACTTTGACACAAAATTCCAAATTCACAACATCAGGATGAAGAAACTTCTCATCTCAGACCTAAATAATTGAACTCTCATTCTCCATGTGTCCTTGTGTCCAAACAACAGACAACCTCAATGCCTACTCCATCAAACCCCCTTTGCAATCAACCACATTTCAATAAAATCACCTCTTCTAAAATCCAAAGACTACAGGCCCAAATTTACTTAGCCTATTTGGAAACCCCTCTAATCCCAGAGAAATACCTAGTGAAACATCACTGTACAACTCCCAATGCAAATACATCCTACCTTAAACATGCAGGACAAAATTCCACTCAGTACTCCAGGTATGGTTGTCTGCAGCAATCCTATTATAATAACCTGCCATTTGCCTTCTTTAATTGCTTGTTGTACCTGCATGGCATTTTTTCGACATTCCATGTATACCCAAGTCTCTAAGTATCAAATCACAAATTTTATCCCTGTTCAGCCTCTCTCCGCCTCATAGCTTAATTCTCACAATCTTGTCCTCAGTATCTTTATTATGCTATAAATACAGATTTGTAAGTAACTCCGACCCTGGCACTAAACCTCGAGGCGCTCCACTAGATCAAGCTTGCCCAGTTTCCACCCACTCTCTGCTTCTTATTTGTTAACCAATCCTCTATTCGTATTAATATAGCACACTCAACTTTTATGGCCCCTTATACTGCATATTAACCATTTGTATGGTAGCCTATCAAATGCCTTTGAAAAACCATGACAAGTATATCTACTAGCTCTCCTTTACTTTCCTTGTTAGTTACATCCTGAAAAACTAATAAATATGTCAAAAATCATCTTCGTAGCATTATTTTATGATTAGCAAAGTGCATTAAAACTTCCTTAATGTTTTCCTGACGCCTAACACCAGGCTAACTAACTTGCAGTTCCCTGTTTTCTTTAGCAGCAGTATCACATTTCCAGTTCACTGGCACTATTCATGAATCTGGCAAACTTAGGAAAATCAAAACTAGTACATCCACTATCTCTGTAACTACCTCTTTTAAAACTATAGGCGCAAACCATCAGGAATTGGTGATTTATCAATTTCTTGTGTTTGAAATTTCTCAAATATATTTTCACTATAGATATCAATTACCTTGGGCTGAATCTTCCTGTCGGAGTTAAAAGTGTTTTGTCAAGCAAATTGATAGAACTAGGTACACTTTGACTATGTGGCTTTTCTCTGGCAACTTTTCATGCTTCACCTCATGAATTATTCACTCAGACTTGATGCTTTTCCATGAGCAGAACACTATAGGAAATGCAGAAGTACTCGCTACAGCTGGGACCTTCTTGTGTTCACGCCACTGGCACCATATTTAAAGCCCAGCCGCAAACCAATTCAATAATGCAAGCCAATTCAATAATGCAAGCCAGGAACTGCCCTTCACATTGTAATGCTGTGTCATTATCATGGAAGACATGGCCCAGAAAATTAAGTTAGCTCCCTGCTTCACTGATAGATGGTGGACTGTGTAGTGGAGAAGAGGACAGTGATTTATCCTGCAGACCAGCAAAGGAAGCTAGGCCAGACAAATTGCCTAGACCCAGACAGCGCCTGGAACGCAAAGCAGCGCAGAAAGATAATTAAGTAATCCTCTGTGTTTTGCAAGTTCAAGTACCACCATCTTCTCTCAGATACATCACAATCACAGGCTACCAACCATTTTAATTCTGCCACAGCACAGCTTTCACCAAGGCCTGTACAATCAATAGCTCTCACACACACAGTCTCCTCCCAAACTACTATCCTTTTCTGCCCTCTGCATTTCCCACTCCCTCACTGGGGACACCTCACCATCCCTCCTGCTACTGCATCACCATCAACAGACCTTCCAATCATAGCAGCATACTTAATCACAGAGTCTCAGGAAAAAACTGCCCAACAATTGGTCTGAGAAGGTGAAAACAAATGGGGAACTGGCAAGCATTAAACTCCACATCACAAGGAAAAACAATACTTCAACAGGCTGAAAAGCATGACCACTCATGGGGAAATCCCAAGGGGCAACCAAACTAGTAAGCTTCATTGTGCTGGGCTGTGTATTCCTCCATTATGACCGCCAGTAACTCATTCTTAACTTGCAAAGGTTTATCTCTCTCACACAACCGAATCCCTCTCCTCTCTTATGCAAGCTCTAGCAGCATCCAATGCCCCTCTGTTCCAAAGAGGTCAGCAAAGACCCTAAATTCCACTTCAGAGGATGCACTGATAAGACTTTCAGCCGCATCTTCAAACAGCAAGCTCAGAGACTTTCACCTTGCTAGCTACTCTTCTAGATTAGGCTCAGGAGCACAATCGAGACAGCATATCACAAGTATGAATCTCTGAAACAGATTATGGAAATAATGCCTTAGCTCTTCAGTACTCAGGACTGCCTGAGACCAGGCATGTGCTCAGTCGCAAGACAACAATGATCGCATGGTCTCAGCCATTATTAATTGTTGAAAATGCAGAGACAGTTACAGGAACTGCAGGCAGATTTTACAGAGGCGTTCCGTAAACTGGATAAAGGTTAGAGGAGCCCACCAATATCATCAGTACCATGATGGCTTTGGTATCTGGACATCTTCTTGGAGAGATTGGCAACCACCATGGAGAGTCAGATCCAGTGTACTGCCTGCTGGATAGACACACAAGCTTACACTCTATTGCTCTACCTATAAATGTTCAGCAAGGCTAGAGGAGTAGAAGGGACCCCGACTTCATTTTAGGTTCCCCTTCCTTTCAGGGAGATGCGAAATTAGGAAGAATTGTCACGCACAGGATCCCTAGAAACTTCCTCTCTGGAGATTCCAGAGAGACTTATCGACTTCATTTTCCCCTTGCTTACGATGCCAAAGCCTATCTGTATGTCCTCAGAGAAGGGTGAGCCTGCAAATGGGTGAGACACATTCAGTGGGCCGAGACCCTCAGTGCATCCATCCCAGCTGCAGCTGTCAGGTTTCACTTAAACATATGGGAGGGAAAAGACAAAATATACTGTGGGCACATAAGCTGTACAGGTAAGTTATTGTTGCAATTACATCGCTAAGTTATCTAACACTTCTGTAAATAAAAGTGCACTTGTACTGAAAATGCCAGCTCTGGTTTCTGTTGGATCTGGTTAAGTCACATCTGATCAATAAGCAGCGTCTTCAGACATTGCAAGGATGATAGTAATTCTAATAAACCAAGCATTGGTTGCTTTTGAGAGAAGAGCAATTTCTTGACTGCAGATTGCATCAGACGTCAAGAATCCTTCAACTGTGGCATTGATTACTATAGCTTAGGTGTTACATTTTAGTGTGGATCACTCTGAGGCTAAACATATACAAATCTTGCAAGTTAAGGGTCTGTGCTGCACATATCTTCCATACTAACACCCTCTGTGAGAGACAGTACTGAATCAGAGATAATTCCACACATCTTTGAAAAGGAAGGTCCATCACATCTATAGAGTTGGAAGGCACAGAATCTGTCTCGGTGCAGTTCAGAAAATGCAAAAGGAGAAAAGACCCAGATGGGGGTTGTGTACAGTCCTCCTAGCAGTAGTCAGGATGTGGTGGCAGGAGCGGGGGGGTGGAAATCAGGAGATAGAAAACGCAGTTAAGAAAAGCACTATTACAATAATTATGGGGGACTTCAATATGCTATATATTGGGAAAGTCAGGTTGGTAACAGATCTCAAGAAAAGACATTCGTGGAACGCATATGAGATGGTTTTTTGGACAAGCTTGTGGGACACCGACATATCTGGATTTGATGATGTAGAATGAGACAGACTTGATTATGGAGTTCATGTCCACAGTTCCCTGAAAGCAGCCACCCAGGTGGATAGAGTTGTTAAGAAGGCATATGGTGTGTTAGCTTTCATTAATAGAGGGATGGAGTTCAAGAGCCGTGAAGTTATACTCCAGCTATACAAAACCCTGGTTCGGCCACATCTGGAGTATTGTGTCCAGTTCTGGTCGCCTCATTACAGGAAAGATGTGGAAGCATTGGAAAAGGTGTAGAGGAGATTTACCAGGATGTTGTCTGGAATGGAGGGAAGCTCTTACGAGGAAAGGTTGAGAGCGCTAGGGTTTTTCTTTTTAGAACGATGAAGGACGAGAGGTGACTTGATAGAGGTGTACAAAATGATCAGAGGTATAGATAGAGTGGACAGCCAGTGACTTTTTCCTAGGTGGAAGTAACTATTACGAGGGAGCATAGTTTTAAAGTGAGTGGGGGTAGATATAGGGGAGACGTCAGAGATAGGTTCTTTACTCAGAGAGTGGTCGGGGCGTGGAATGCATTGCCGGAGAGGGTAGTGGAATCGGCCTCATTAGGGGCATTTAAGCAACCATTATATAGGCATATGGATGATAGTATAAGGTAGGGGTGGAGATTTGCTAGACCTTAGGTTTAGGGTAAAAGTTCGGCACGACATCGTGGGCCGAAGGTCCTGTACTGTGCTGTACTGTTCTATGTTCTATGGAGCATAAGATGAAGGAAAGACTTAGAAGGCAGTGACCATAATATGACAGAATTCACCCTGCAGTCTGAGAGGGAGTTGATTGGGAGGGGAGCCTAGAAGGGAAGACAGTGGAGTAGCAAGGACAGGAGTTTCTGGGATAATCTGGGAGGGACAGCAGAAAGTCATCAAAGGAAGATGATACATATTAAGGGAGGATGAGGCAACCATGGCTCACAAGGGGCATCAGGGACAGCATAAAAGTAAAAGAAAAAACATACAATGCGATGAAGATTAATGGGATGCTAGAGGATTGGGAAGGCTTTAAAAACCAGTAGAGGATAACTAAAAAAGCAATAAGGCTTAGATGATGAAATAGGAGAGTAAGCTAGCTCGTAATATAAAAGAAAATTGCAAGTTTTTTTTAAAACTATCTAAAAGGTAAGAGAGGGGCAAGAGTGGACCTTGGACTGCTAGAAAATGAGGCTGAAGTAGTAGTAATGGAGAGCAAAGAAAGGCACAGGAATTGTACAGGTGCTTTGCACCAGTCTTCATAATGGAAGACACATACAGCACAACAGACTTCAACAGAGTCAGGGCCCAAAGGGGAGTGTAGCAGTCATCACTAAGGTGGTGGTGCTGGGGAAGCTGAAAATGTCTGAAGGTGGATAAATCACCCGAGCCAGATGGACTACATACCATAGCTCTGAAGGAGATAGCTGCGGAGATTTTACAGACATTAGTGATTCCTTAAAGATCACCACCAGAGTCAGGGAGAATCCCAAAGGACTGGAAAATGGAAAATGGCAAATGCGACACCCCTGTGTAAGAAAGGAAGGTAGAAGACAGGAAACTATAGGCCAGTTAGTCTGACCTCGGTCACTGGAAAGACTTTAAGAGTCCATTAAGGATGAGACTGCAGGGTACTTAGAAGTGCACAGTAAAAGAGGGCCGAGTCAGCACAGTTTTGTCAAGGGGAGATCATGCCTGACAAATCTGCTAGAATTCTTTGAGGAGGTAACGAACAGGTTAAACAAAAGACAGCCAGTGATATATTTGGATTTCCAAAAGACCTTTGACAAGTGCCACATGGGAGGCTGTTAAATAAGATAACAGCCCATAGCACCAGGGGCAAGGTACTGGCATGGAGAGAGGATTGGTTGGCTAGCAGAAGGCAAAGAATACGTATAAAGGGATCTTTGTCGGGATAGCAGCTGGTGACTAGAGGAGTTGTCCGTGTTGGGACTGCAACTATTCATGTTTTACATTAATGATCTGGACAAAAGAACTGAGGGCATTATTGCTAAATTTACAGATGACAAAAAGATAGGTGGACGGGAAGGTAGCTCTGAGGAAGTGGGGAGGCTGCAGAAGGGCTTCGATAGGCTAGAACAGTGAGCCAAGTAGTAGCAAATGGAATACAATATGGGGAAGTGTGAGGTTATACACTTTGGTAGGAATACAGGTGTAGACTATTAAATGTGGAAAGGCTTCAGGAATTTGAAGCACAGAGAGACTTGAGTCCTAGTGCAGGGTTCTCAAGGTTAACCTGCAGGTTCAGTTGGCAGTTAGGAAGGCAAATGAAATGTTAGAAACAAGAACAAATTGTTCGAATTACTCAGCAGGTCTGGCAACATCTGGAGAGAAATGAGAGTTAACATTTCAGGTCCAGTGACCCTTCTTCAGAACAAACATCTCAGTAAGTTTAAACACTTAGCATGTTTACGAATCGTGCCTTTTTATTTTTGTTTTCAGAAACTGTAGAATTCTCTACTAAAAAAGAGCTACTGTGACTGCCCCATACCATTATTCCAAACAAGTATCATTATGCTTCTTAGACAATTCTTTGGAGCTGTCATGTTCACGCAATAAACTATATATATATTTATAGTTCACTGCATGAACATGACAGCTCCAAAGTATTGTCTTCCACTGTTAGCTATACAATACATTTTAGGAATGCCAAGCTCAGATGACATTTTAAAGTTAGCTTGTTTGATTATATTTGCTTAACTGACATGACAAGGAAACAATTAGTCATGGTTCTTTGAGACCTTGATCTGTAACCTGCATGCTTGGACAATGAATTCTTGCTGATGAAATACAATTTGACATCAGATGTGTGGTATAACTAAATCAATAGATAAACATTTAATGTAATTGCACCTATCATCACTTCATTTATTCCATTTTCTCTGTATGTGGTGGCAGCCATTTTATACTGCTATTGTGCAGCTGATTTTGGATCAAAAATGCCAAAGGTTGCATACATATCCTCGCGAGTGACTTGCAGACTCCACCTGAGATGAAGGATGATTCCACCAATTCTTCATGCTCTCTTTTCCCTCTGTATGCTGTTGTCTGCATCCCCCAAAGGCCTTTAACAACCTTCCCTCACCTGCATTTCCCACAATTTATGCTCGACTCATTCATATAATACTGTTATTAAATTTAAACGCCACACCCTGTGCCTTTATGAAATGGCAAGCCCTTGGTGGCCATACACTCTCCCGTGCAGAGTCCAGAGTGATTGTTAATACCCTTATTTTGGAGCTTCTAATGCCTGTCCTATGCTCTATGTGATCCCAGCCTGACTTGAATTGCCCCCTCTAACTGTATTCATTTCCTCCGTGACCAAGTCCAGTGAACTTCATTCACTGGTTGGTTTTCCTCACATTCCTCAGGGCTCCATGGACTGCCTCCTGTCCATTACTTCCCGAAGCCACTGGGCTTACTTGGCAGGACAGCCTCAACACTGATGTCTCAACAGCATCCGGACGTATGTACCTGTAATCCCTTTTACACATGACCTGCAGAACCGACTGCGGGCCAATCCCCAAACTGCAAGGGAAAAAATCCTCAGGATTGCTTTCAATCAAGTACCTGATGGATTGTGCCAACCCTCTCGGCTGCAGCAACCGAGGAACCAATGACTTTACTGTCATGAATTGGCACTGTCCAGTTTCTCGGGCAAAGACAGGACAGTTGGAAGTGGCACAGGAATTAGACATGTTGGACTTAGGAAGAGAAGCAAATGCATTGAAATAAGGTAGTCACAGTTTAGTAGAGAGATTCTGAAGTCACTGTTAAGGGGAAAATCAGGAAACGATCTTTTTTGAAACTGAGACACCAATACTTTCTCAAATTCCCAGCTACGGCCCATGCCACTCCATGAAGTGGAAAATTCCACACCTTAAGCTTCTCTGTCCATTAGCGCCTGATACTCCACGAATGTAACTCAATGTATTCTACTATCACAGGGAAGCGCAAGGGTTCAGCTTCATTATTATCAATAACAACTGGCACATGAATAATAACTTGCATTTATTTAAAAACACCTTTAATAATGTGTTTTCGCAACAGTAAAGAGATTGAGTGAGTCAGGATGGACATAGAGGTGACTGTACCTGGTTATGAGGACCCTAATGCTGTACTTTTAGACACAATTACATAGAATGTAATTAATGACTCCAAGAGCTCTGGAGAAGAACCTAGATTGCAGGAGTTCAAATATGGAAATGCAAGAAAGATAGACATGATTCTGAAGGTGACAGAACATTCAAAGAAACGGGGGTCGAGAGATATGACAGTAGGTTATAACATTAGAGACACTTGGGCTCAACTTGTTTTTTTTGTGTGGCAGCAGATTTGATGGGGATGAGGACAGTATGTGGAGAGAAAGCCATGAACAAAACCTGCTAACATACTGGCCAGGCAAGGAAGTTGGGTGGTCAGCAGTTTGACGCAAATAGGATGGACAGGGTCAGGGTTAGGATAGGGCCAGTTGTTGGCTGTTATAAAACACTGCATCTTAAGTGTATTACATCAAGGAATCACCACTTCCTTACCATCACGATCTTCAGTGGGGCTGGAATGTCGACTTAATGACTTGAATTGCAGTTCAGCTGCTATGGACGCTAGGCGGTCATTTTCAGGGACACTTGAACCTCTATTTTCAAAGGAACAAAATCACATTTAAACTATTTTAACATATCTAACACATACTTCAAACTTTTACTGGCAATGCACTTGGCATTATATCATGTGAATATGTTTTTAAAAACTGCAAACACAATACTTTCCCTGTGTATTTCAAGGAGTACAGTATTAGGGAGTTATTTCAGATTCTTGTCACTAGCCATACTAATTCTACTCTCTTCATCAAATGAGACACCGCCTGGCAGATAAAAGGTTTCAGATGCCACTGATATACTAAGAAAGTAAGAGCAGAGGCATAATACCAGCTTCTGCAGGCATGTTAATCAAAATTGGCAGGTACAGAAAGTGAACTGTGAATTGCTCAGCCATTGAAAGCAAGTGCAGACAAACTCAAAGAGAAGTAAATTTAAGGTGCTACTGATGAGTGGCTGAGTAAAAAGGAGCTTACAAACAGTTTACTATACACTTCCTTCTGAATAATTGACCAATCCAGCTTTCACTGTAACTTAATGACCCATCAAGTAGTATGCTTGATACATTAGTTACAACTTTTAATTTTTAATAAGCATGAATCACCTAGTGATCTGCAGTCTTACACAATTAAATCAAAGACCAATGTATAAACCTTCAATATGGGAAACAGAGTTTGACTGTATTTTAACATGATCTATCATGTTTCACATGGAGGATTACATGAAGATTTGCTGCTGTTGAAATGTAAAAACACTCTCTGCCTACAGCAATGTTGATGCAGTAACAACAGGGTACATCACTGACAAGATATACTGCAGCAACACACCAAGGTTCCTCACAGCAGCTTCCAAACATTTAATACAAATCAGGAGTAGAAGTAGGCCATTTGGCGCTTCAGCTTGCTCTGAACTTTTAGAAGCTCATGGTTCTAATTCCAGTTCCCTGCCTACATTTGATTCCGATTTACTCCCTTGTTAATCAAGAATTATTTTTCTCTGTCTTATCAATATTCAGAGATCACAACTCCAATGCTCACTGGGGTAGAGTTCCAATAAATCTCAACTCTGAGATTTCTCATCTTGATCTTGAATAGGAGATGTCTTTTCTTTTAAACTCAGTCTCCAAGTTCTAGTCTCCATACCACTCGAAGTGAACTGTGCGTCACCTTTTGAAGACTCAGTGTTCTCACTGTTTTCCCAATGAACTCTCACACTCCAAGTTGCTCTTTAATACTCATTTTTCTCGCTGTTTGCTGAAATGAATTTATACTTTCTGCCACTCACTCTGCCCTTCATAAAATGAACTCTTGCTCTCCATGCCACCTTTTTGAAACCCTTTTCTCCCTGTTCTCAAAGTGAACTCCTACTTTCTGCGCCATCCCTTTCCAACCTTAACTTCTACCACCTAGAAGGCCAGCAGACACACAGCAATGCCAACACCTGCAAGTTCCTCTTTAAGCCATCCCAGTGTGGAACTATATTACCACTCTTCCACTGTTGCTGGGCCAATGCTCTTTCTAACAGCACTGCAGACATACTTAGACCACATGGAAGGCTGTGGTTCACAAAAAACAGCTCACCACCACCTTTAACAGGCAATTAGGGATCGGCACTTAATGTAACATCCACATCTCATCATTAAATAAACATATTATTTGTTTCTTCCTGTTTAAAAAGGAAAGCTCCTTCCATATTGCCTCCTTAATTCTACATTTTCAAGCATCTGACATTAAAGATGATAGAAGAAATATTATCTTCTATAGCAAAATACTATAGCAAGTAATGTAATTACAATTAGCATGAGCCTTCTCTATTGCAGTTCTAATGCTAAGAAGAAAATAGAGTTATTAGAAAATTTCATGAAAGCACCTTTCAATTGATTGAACTATATAATTGACAGGGCAAACAGAAATACAGGGTATTTCTTAAATGATGGGAGATTGTGGGGGGGGGGGGAGAAAAAAAACTAATGTCCATAGGGACCTGGGTGTCTCTATTCATAAATTATTAAAGGTTAATGTCATGTGCAGCATGCAGTTTGGAAGGCAATTATATTTTGGCCTTTGTTCCAAGGGGATGAGAGTGCAGGAGTAAAGAAGCCTTGGTGCAGTTGTGTAGGAGCGTCGGTGAGACTCACCTGCACAATTCTTTAATATCTTGGAGTACTATGCACAGTTTTGGTTTTCTTACCAGAGGAAGGAGGAGAGTGGGCCTATATTCTCTAGAGCTCAGAGGAATGAGATGTGATCTCGCCAAAGCTTACAACATTCTTGCAGTACTCAACAGTGCAATGGTCATTTCCCAGCTGTGGGATCTAGAATTGGGGACAGGCTCAGAATAAAATATAGGCTATGTAGGATTGAGATAAGGAGAAATTTTGGAGGGCACTGAATCTTTAGAATTCTATACCCTAGAGGGATGTGTAAGCTTGAATAGATTCAAGATTTTTTAAAAAAATAAAGATTTCTAGTTATGGAAGACATCAAAGGATATGGGGATAATGCAGGAAAATGGCATTAAGGTAGATCAGCCATGATCTAGTTGAATGAAACAGGTTTGAGGGGACAAATAGCCTACTCTGCTCCTATTTCCCTGCGTGCTGCAAAACCCTTTAAATCACAAGAGCATCAAGGTTAAATATTTCTCTTAATTGATATGTGCAGAATATTGTATAGCACTGTAAACGGTATCTGTTCATGCTACGGGTGAAAATACCTTAATTCATTAGCAGTGCTTGCAGATTTGACGAGATTGAGGTCACTCACTATAGGTGGCGAGCGAATAGCAACAGCTACACATTGGTTCCGCACTTCAGAGCCAAGACTCCTCGGGCTGTTATAAAAGAAAGATATAGAGAACAACTTGAGCATGAAAATATAGCTGACAATATAAGAAAAATAAATGAAAATGACATGCACTTTCCTTTCTAAAGAGATAACATTTATGGTTTGATAACAGAAGAAATCTCAGAATTAAAAAATTGCCCATGTGCCCTCATTTTTGCATTGAGCATAACACAACCATTAAAAAAAAAATTGCCTTAAAAGTTGTTCTGCAAATGAAGTTGCACCACTGATGCTAGTACGAAATAAAACCGTAGTATAAATTAGTTAAAAGCATTATTTCCCAGTGCTACTGCAGGTCGCTCAATTATCATATTGCAACCAGAAAATGATTCTAATGAACTGTAATTGAAAAATGCCATAATACTCAGTGTTCACCGTAAGATTAAGTTCTTTAGTTTCCAATTTATCAACTGGCTTTGTCGAGGCTTGAAAGTTAGCAGACATCTAAGGCAAGGTAATATTCTAACTAATACTACTGGTCATCAGTAGAAACTAGAAGTTAACATACCTTTGGTTTAAAAAAAACCTACTAGTAGGTTATCAAGTGAGCAACTGAAGTGGTTAGCTCTTGGTTTAGAATAAAGTTTAAAATGTGTTTTTCTCAATAGAGTCAAGTAACATTGATCTCATGCACATATTAACAGCATGCAGTACAGGTCACACTTACCATTATAAATGCTGAGAGCAGATAGCAAAGCCAAAGAATCACAGACAAAAGGGGTACAGTAGTATAGCGGTTATGTTACTGGACTAGTAATCCAGGGGTCTGGACTAATTATCCGGAGACATGAGTTCAAATGCCACCACGATAGCTGGGGAATTTTAATTTAATTAATTAAATTATAATCAATCTGGAACTTATAAACCTAGTATAAGCAATGACTACCCGATTGCCATAAAGCCAATTTGCTTTAAGAAAATTGGTCTTCCTTACCTGATCTAGCTGTTAAATCACTCTAGACATAATGCAATGTGATTGACTGTTAACTGCTGTCTGAAATAGCCTACCATTGTTTATCATGACTGCTTTAAATCAGCATTAAGGATAAAACCGGATTGCTCACCTAGCATTGACCTCAATAACCAGATTCTGAAAGGCCAAAGGCACACTCGGCTCTGCAATCATCCTCAGCTGAGGTCCTGTGCCAAGACTGGAAGAGCTATTCCACAGACAAGTCCAGCAAAAGCCTAGTAGTCATATCGAATTATACCATTCAGCCAACTTTCCAGATTCCTCCATCACCACATCTGGGTATATCTTGTCACATTAGGAGGTTGGGCCCACCAGAAATAGCAGTACAACGGTATACAGGGGCTGAGATAACAAGGTGTAGTGCTGGATGAACACAGCAGGCCAAGCAGCATCATAGGAGCAGGAAGGCTGACGTTTCAGGCCTAGACCACTTCATCAGAATTGCAGGGGCTCCCTGATTTACCAATGTTCAACTTACAAATGCTCACTTTTTTTCTGAACACACGCAATCCCATGCAGGGGTGTAATTTTAAAGATCCAACATATGAATATTTCCTGTACTTATGAACAGCTATTTCATATCGTCCTGCAACGTGTTCTGACTTGTGCAAAAATCAACTTAACAGACTTAAAAATTGGAATCCGGGGACTGCTCGTCATCTCTCATATTGAACACTACTTCGATTGAACACTTTCTGAAAAGTCCAAGTGACCCAAATCACCTGGCTCCCTTGTTCTCCCAGTTACATCCTCAAGTAGATTTATCAAACATGATTTCTTTTTCGCAAATCCATGCCGACTCTTTCTGATTCTATCATTGTTTTCCAAATGCTCTGCTGTCAAATCTTTTATAACAGATTCTAGTATTTCCTACCACTGATATCAGGCAACCACTATAATTCCGTGTTCTCTACACCACCTTTTTTAAAATAGTGGCATTACATTAGCTACTTTCCAATCGATAGGAACTGTTCCAGAGGCCATAGAATTTTTAAAAGATGACTAGCACTGTTTAATCCAGTTAAAAGAAAACACTGCTCTACTACAGAGCAAAAGTTTATGTCACACTTGATATGCTATTGGCAAAATTCCCAAGGTAGAATATCTTTCACTACTGGAGGATTTCAAAACAAGTGTGGGCACAAACCAAGAGGCACCGACAGACATTAGAGCCTAGGGTAGACAAATGAGAGCAAATAGAGGCTAGTTGAATTTTTCTGCTACCATGAGTTTTGTGCAACTGTCACCTGCCTTCAGAATCAAATGTACCACAAGGAATCCTGACAACATTCTAGATCAGAGCTTTTCCTTTCTCAATAGTATTTTCAATACGTGTAGCTACCACAGTTCTGACTGTGATACAGATCACTTTCCTGGTATGCACAAGGCTTATGACATGATCCTTGAAGCATTTTTTTTTTTAAACAAACAAAGCAGTAAGCTCATTTTTATATCAACAACAGGCATACTATCTACCAAAAAAACAACAAAATTTGGTTGCAACAGAGTGCAAATATAAAATAGTACAAACTTGGAGATACTTTCTCAATGCCGCACTCTGAACATATGAAAAGCAACAGTGGGAAAATGCCCAGTGGCTTAAGCGTAACATCACTGACATGGAACCTGTTGTCGAAATCAAGCTGACAACTCTGATCAAATACTGGGAAGATGCAAGAGAGAATACTCCAAATGCACCAACAGCCACTTAAAATCCAACTCTTCGATAACAGTGGTTATAATTTCATATCTAGATATGCTTTGATAGAGAATAATCAAGGCATGAATAATGGGATCACAAAGGAAATATGTTCTTTGCATAGAAAATAGATCCACTGAATATAAAGGCAAGGGATTACAGTTTGAGAGATAGTGGAACACCACCATGAGTGGTATCGAAGAAAAACATCAATGATAGCCATTGTCATCGCTTAAAAATTCTAGGTTGCATCCAGTCAGGACTAGGGGACCTATTGACTTTTAGCTCCATTAGCTTCCCCAGTACAACTTCTCTCGTGATAGTTACTGCATTTATTTGCTTTCCTACTTTTGATCTTGGATTTGTTAATTTTGGAATGCTATTAATGTCTTCTACAGCAAAGACTGATGCAAAGTATTTATTTAACTCCTCATTATTTCCTGAGCCTTATTCTCTAAAGGGCCTATGTTCACTTTGGCCCCCTTCTTTTTTATATTTAAAGAAGCTCTTGCTGTCCATGTTGATACTACTTTTATGTTTACCATCAAGGCCTATTTTCTCTAATTTTTTTGACTTTTGTTTCTTCTTGGTTTTTAAAACTTTCCAATCCTCTGGATTATAACTAATCTTTGCCACATTTCACGTTATTTTCTTACAATTTGAACTTCCTTACTTTCCTGGTTAACCATGGTTGGTTTATGCTGACTTGCTTATTAAGCTGTGGATGGATCTCTCTCTTGCTGAGTTTTTTTTGTAAAAGGGAATTAACTTACAATGAAAATTCTGTATCATTCATTTAAATATTTCCCACAGCCTGTAAGTTAGTGAGCGCAGTAGCACATGACTAGAGTAGCAACAAATATATCTCAAGATAACAAGCCAAACTGATAAGATTACAATTACACTAAAATGTTTTTTCTAGGCAGAATTAAGCAATAATTTAATCCAACTAATCAGAACAGCACCTTGCAGTTCTGCCAGAGACATGAATGGGAGGCAGCAACTACACAACTAACAAAAGGCATGGCTCCACATAAATTCCCATAGTCAATAAAGTTGGAGCTGAGCGTGCAAGTGCATAAGTCAAGGCTGAAACATTTGGAACCAGCCAGAAGTGTTGACTGTCTGATCAGTCTTTGCCTCCTGCTAAGTCATAGAAGTCAATTCAGTTTACTTCTTGATATCAAGGAAACAGAACACATTGTATACAGAAATAGTTACTGGCCCCAAAAACATTCTGGCTTACTGCTGAAGGCTGGTGTCCAGGATAGCCATGTCTTTCAGTAAACTGTCTCAGTACAGTTGCACTACTAGCATCAACCTGACAATGTTGAAAATTGTGCAGTTGTCTACAAAAAGCAAAACTACAAAAATTTCTAGCTAATTACAACCCCACCAGTCTATTTTCAATCACCAATAAGATGATGAAGAGGTTGCTGATATTGCAATTGATAAACAGGGTATTGGTTAATTAACATTATCAACACTCAATTTGGATTCCGCCAAGACCACAACTCCAGATTTCACTGTGGTTTTTGTACAAACAGCCAAAACAGTGGAATTCCTGAATGAGGTGAAAGTAGCTGCATATGATGTCAAATTAGCATTTGACCAAGACTAGCATCAGGGAGTCCTAGTAAAACTTTGGCTTACTGTAATTAGGAAATAATTCTCTCCTAGCCAAAGTTATGCCTAGCCTACTCAATAATAATGACGGATATTGAAGATCAATCATCTAAGCAAGAGTTTCTCAGTGCCTTAGGCCCAACCATCCTCAGTTGTTTCATCAATGTCCTTCCCTCTCTATTATGAGATAAAAGGTGAGGATGCTGACTGATGATTAAAGTGTTCAGCTTTATTTGCAACTCCTCAGATTATGAAGCAGTCAGCCCACACAGCAAAATCTGGACAACATTCAGACTTAGGCTTATGATGAGCAAGTAATATAAGTAACACAACAGGGCCAAAGTAATAACCATCTCTCGCAAGAGTAAGTTTAGCCACCGCCCTCTTGACATTCAGTGGCATTACAATCATTGAATCCCCCAACATTAATATCCTGGAATTACCACTGACCAGTAAAATAACTAGCTCCACCATATCAAAACTGTGCTATCTAACCTCTTAGAGCAATAAGTCAAGAATGTGATTGAATACTCCACTTGCTTAGATGAATGCAGTTCCGAAAGAACTTAGGGATTGTGACACCATTTAGGACAAAGTGGCTCCATGACTGGCATCCCAATCACTACCTTCAACATTCATTCCTTCCACTAGTGTATCATGCATACAAAATTCACCGTTGTAATTTACAAAAGCTTCTTCAATAAGACTGCCTAAACATGCAACCTTTACAACCTAGAACAAGGTCAGCAGGACATTGTTAAATTACCTCTCCATGTCACAGAACAAGCTGGTTTGGAAATATATTGCTGTTCTTTCCTTGCCATTTAGTAAATACCCTAGAACTCTCTACTTAAGAGCACTATGGGTATAGCTTTACCAGAAAGACTGTCATACTTCACGATAAAGACTCACCATCACCACCTCAAGGGTAGTGACAGTTGCGGAACAAATGTTGACCCTGCTAGCAATTCCCAATTCTTGTAAATGAAAAAGCAATCAAAAACTTTATAAAATAAATTAAAATATTATTAATAAACAGTATGACTATTGTGCAGAGATTGTAGGAGCTTGTCTATTCAGGGGATGAGAGTGCGAGAGGATAACTCTTGGCTAAAAAGGAAGCAGGATGATGACTACTGATCATAGAGCATGCAGGCAAGTAATGATTAGTCAGAAAGACTGAAAAATGGTTGTTTGTCAGAGAATCTGTGACAAGTTGGCTACTGGTCAGAGAGACTGCATAAGATTGACTATTAGTCAGCCAGAATGCAGGAGAATCTCAAATTTGTTATAGAGACTGCAATGAAATGAATGCTGGTTACACAGACTACAAGAAAATGGTATGACAACTTGACAGCTTAGTTTGAGTTTAGTCAATATTGAAATACAGTTTACAAGCATTTTCAGAATCTCTGGCAGGGGTCCACTTTTCACAAGCCAATAAAACCAAGAACACTGGAATCTGATATTAGTGAAGAAAGCTTGGTGTCTTAATTATCTTGAATTGGCAAATAGGTTTTTGTATTAAGAAATACAATGATTTGGGCATTGTCACTTCATTATAAGAATGCCTTAACAAAAAGTGTTGAGTCAATAACTCTTCCAACCCTGTTCTCAAGCCGCATCAAAAAGTGAACAGAACCAATCAAAGCACTTTACCTGAATCCCTCAGGTGCCGGAATGATGAGATGAGGATTTGGTGGGTCGCTATGGCATCGAGGTACTTTGATAGGACGAGGACTATTTCTATGAATTCCTGAAAATGCATATTGAAGTTAATGCAAGGTCACATATACTGGAGTGACAATAATATTATCAATAATAACTCTTAAATAAACATGAGAAAACTTGCAAACACGAACCAATACTGCTGCGAAATTAATTAATACAATTAGCTCGAGTACAAAGCATGATGACAACAAATGAGGGGAGTTCTTTCACATGCTGCATACTATAGTTGATACAAAAGGATGTAACGCATATAAATATACTCAAAAAAATTAAACAGCAAGTTATAATCTGAAACTCACTGCCTGAAAGAGTGGTGGAAGCAGAGTCAACAGCAACTTTCAAAGTGGAATTCCATGAATACAAGAAATGGAATAATTTGTTGGGCCATAGAAAGAGTAAAACTAACTGGAAAAATTCTTCAAAGAGTCAAAAAGACAAGTTTTCTTTTTAAGTTTAGTGATGACATAAATCCGACTTCAATCTGTTTAGTTACAGCTTATTTGGTGATTTACGTTAGCAACAAGTTAGCTGAATTTTTATCATGGTGTTTAATGTGATTATAAATTTTGTTTTAAAGATTGTTTCAATATTAAAAAGTGTATTAATATTTTTCAAATATTATTTTGCATTTATTTATATAAAAGTTGAACCTCAAGAGAATCAGGGGGCAGAGGCGAATGTAGAAGCTATTACAATGGAAGAGGTGCTGGGGAAGCTGAAAAGGTCTGAAGGGGGAATAAATTATCCAAACAAGATGGACTACACACCAGTGTTCTAAAGGAGACAGCTGAGCAGATTGTGGAGACATTGGTGGTGATCTTTAAAGAATCACTAGAGTCAGGGAGGGTCCCAGAGGACTGGAAAATGGCAAATGTAACACCCCTGTTTAAGGGAGGGAGGCAGAAGAAAGGAAATTATAGGCCGGTTAACCTGACCTCAAGTTACTGGTAACTTTTTAGGTTGATTATTGAGGAGATTGTAGAGTACTCGCAAGTGCATGGTAAAATAAGGCTGAGTCAACATGGCTTCATCAAGGGGAGGTCATGCCTGACAAATCTGTTAGAATGCTTTGAGTAGAACATGAGCAAGTTAGACAAAGGAGAGCCAGTGACGTGATCTATTTGGATGTCCGAAAGGCATTTGACAAGGTGCCACACAGGAGGGGCAAGGTATGGCATGGGTAAAAGGATTGGCTGAGCGGCAGAAGGCAGAGGAGGGTAAAGGGGATCTTATTCAGGATGAGAGCTGGTGACTAGTGGAGTTCCATAGAGGTCAGTGCTAGGACGATAACTATTTACCTTACACATTAACAATCTAGACGAAGGAACTGAGAGCATGGTGTCATCTGCAAACATAGTAACAAAGATAAGTGGAGGGACAAGTAGTGTTGAGGAAGCCAGGAAGCTGCAGAAGGACTTGGACAGGCTAGGAGATGGGCAAAAAGGCAGCAGATGGAATACAAAGTGGGCAAATGAGGTTATACACTTGTGTATTTGAAATCCTGTGAGCTTTTTTGAGCCCTGCATCTAAAAAGGAGGATGTGCTGGTATTGGAGGAGATTTACAAGAATGATCCTGGGGTTGAAAGACTTGTCATATAAGGAATGGTTGAGGACTCTGGGTCTGAACTTGAAGAAGTTTAGAAGGGTGACAGAGGATCTGATTAAAACTTACGGAATACTGAGAGGCCTGGATACAGTGAATGTGGAGATGTTGTTTCCACTATTAGGAGACTAGGACCTGAGTCATAGTCTCAGAAGAAGGGACAACCCTTTAGAATTGAGACAAGGAGGAATTTCTTCAGCCAGAGGGTAGTGAATCTGTCGAACTCATTGACACAGAGGGCTGTGTCACACATATTTAAGACCGGGATAGATATTTTCTTGATTAGTAAGGGGATCAAGGATTATAGGAAGAAGGCAAGAGAATGGGGCTGAAAAGCAGATCAGCCTTGATTGAATAGCAGAGCAGATTTACTGGGCCAAATGGTCTAATTTTGCACCTATACGAAAAGGACATAGTCAAGATTTCCAAGAGAAATAAAAAGACCTAAAATCACAGATACCGAATTATTTAGTTTTTATTTTTAAAAAAAATTGAATGGCTTGGCATCTTTTCAGATATGCTAGCTGAATTGTCAATTTCAAATAGTAGTAGTTCATCTGAATATGAAAAAAAAACTTGCTGACATACAATATCAACAAGGTAAAGCAGTAGCTGTATGACCAACACCATCTTATTGCCAAAACACATTATTTTAACATAACAAGCCGCACACTGAACTTACATAAAGTCCAGTCAAGTTTATGGGGACATCCAGATAGCAAGACAGCATGTTCAAGAACAATGGTACGAGATCTCTGACAGCCAGTAATTTTTTTAAAACAGATTCTAACTCAAAAGTACAAAATGACAGAGTTTGCCAACTCAACAACAATATTTCAGTGTATTATGAAAAATAAGACATTTTGTTGAAGCTTTTATTCTTGCACTCGTCAGGACAATTTGTTAACATAATTTCAGAGGAAAATATCCAACATTTGTACTGCAAGAAAGGAAAGTACAACTAGTTGGCAAGTACACAGGTAGACAGGATGGTGAAGGTCGTGTTTGGACACTTGCCTTCATCAGTCAAAGCATTAAGAACAGGAGTTGGGGTGTCATGTTACAGCTGTACAAGACATTGGTAAGGCCACATTTGAATGTTATTAAACTGGAAAGATTGCAAAAAAGATTTACAGGGATGTTACGAAGACTGGAAGGTTTGATTTATAAAGGAGGGGCTGGACAGGCTTGGACCTTTTTACCCCTGGAGTGTAGGAGATTGACAGATGACCTTGTGGAGCTTTATAATATCATGAGGAGCATAGATAAGATAAATTGTCAAGGTCTTTGTTCCAGGGTACGGGAGTCCAAAACTAGTGGGCACAGGTTTAAGCTGAGAGGAGAAAGATTTAAAAGGGACCAGAGGGGGAACTTTATCATACAGAGGGTGATGCGTATATGGAACAAGTTGCCAGAGGAAGTGGTAGAGGTGGGTACAATTACAATATTTAAAAGACACGTGGACAAGTACAAGGATAGGAAAGTTTGAGGAATATGGGCCAAAAAGAGGCTGATGGGACTAGTTCAGTTTAGGAAACCCAGTTGGCATGTACAAGTTGGGCCAAAGAGTTTGTTTCCATGCTACATGACACTAAGTGCACTGTAACTGTTACAGATATTGCCATGGACAATGCACTAGCTCATGATATTTGACAGTTAATTGCCAAGATTGGGCAGCACAGTAGCAGTGATTAGCAACGCTGCCTCACAATGCCAGGGACCTGGGTTCAGTTTCAACCTCTGGGGACTGTGTGGAGTTTGCACTTTCTCCCCATATCTGTAGGGGTTTCCTCCAGGTGCTCCAGTTTCCTCCCACAGTCCAAAGGTGTGCAGGTCAGGTGGACTGGCCATACTGAATTGCCAATAATGCCCAGGGATGTGCAGGCTAGGTGGATTAGCGATGGGAAATGCACAGTTACAGTGTTAGGGTAGAGGGTCAGGGTGGGATACTCTTTAGAGGGTCGAAGTAGACCTGACAGGCCTGTTTCCACACTGTAGTGATTCTATGACGCTTTGTCTAAATCTGAAAGCAGATAGTTGTTTAAAGGAGTGGGAGTAGAAAAGGTAGAATTGGGCATTCTTAGCATAGAATGGCAATATTTCAAAATATGAGCTAAAAATGCAATAAATACCCAACAGGTAAGACATCTGTGGACAGTGAAACAGATACAATAGCTATCGCTTTAAAACTATACATTTCTTTCTTGCTCTTCTCAGATGCCACATGATCTAAGTTTATAAAGCATGTTTGATTTATATTTCAGATTTCCAGCATCTTCAGTATTTTGCTTCAAACTAAAAATAAACAGACATAAAACATAGTTGTTACCAGCTGTATTAATTACACAACACAGACCACAGAACACAAACCTGTCACAGGGCTATGAGGCTTTCCTATCACATGACCGATACACTCATTCATTAGAGACTGCAAACTCTGTAAAAAATCAAAAAAAGGTACATCTCAATACTAGAGATCGAACAATAGTGGAGAATTCAGTCAGTTTACTCGTCCAAGATTCAAGCAATAGAAAATACCATTTGTAACCAAATGACATACTGTAAAAATCAGACTGTATACCACAAAAAAAAAGATTTTACTGCACTGCTTCTCAATAAGTAAAAATCTACATCAATATGGAACATACTGTATTATAGCAAAGTGAACCTCCCAGATCAGTAACTGTTTATAATGAAAAATAAAGAAGGCAATTATAAACATTATCTGACTCCAGCATCTGCAGTTCTTCCTATCTCTCTATTATAAGCATTTCCTTCACTTTCACACGTTTTAAAAATAAAAGACAAATGAGAATGTAGTGTTACATTTTAATTCATGAGCAGGATTGCAATTTCCATCTTTGAGCTGAGACTCAGTTTGACCCTTCAGGTTTGTGTAAAAAAAAGGGCAGTGCAGTATTTTGAACAGGAACAGAAATAAATAGGCCTAAAAAATATTCTTAATTTATTGTTATTTCAGGGATCTTGCTGTGTGCAAATTGGCTGCTATATTTCCTACATTACGACTAGATTTTGAATGTACTTAATTGAATATAAAGCTCTTCGATGCAATTGGAATGCAACACCATACAACTTGATCCTATCCAGTTTACTAACAAAACACTTGAAACACAACTACCAGGTAACATACTGTATGGACCATAAAAGGTGGGTATAATTATTTACAAGTCAAAGAAGCCAATTTACCAGAAAGTCATCTTCAGGAAGAGCTGAAATAAATCCTGGTTCAATTGCTTGAAGGAAATCAAAGCCTTGAGTTGCCCATCTGCGAACAGATCATAACATTAGGAGGACAATACTGATATGGAAGAAGATACTCAAAAATACAAGTTCATAAGAGTATTTCTAACCTGGGTCTTGTTCCCCTTCCACTTTCACATTTTGTGAGCACATAAGTCATCCATTTCCTAGCAAAGTTTATAAATTTGTCTCCCATTTTCTGCCTGAATTCTCCAGACATTAGGCGCACAACTTCTTTGTGATACTGAAAAGACAGAAGTTATTCTAAAATATTTGTAGATACAAGTACATTGAGATCTTAAACTTCAACTGCAAAATATCATATTTCTTTCGTAAAGGAAACTGAAGAATAAAGCAATCCCCAAGGAAAAAAACGCTGCTCATTAAGTAAATGTTTTTCAAGATCTAAGAGTTACACTGGAAACTGTCCTTTCTATGGGAAGAGGGGTCCCTGGACCCGAATCATCAGCTCTGCTTTCTCTCCTTGCATGCTACCAGACCTGCTGAGATTTCATCAGCAATTGCTGCTTATGTTTCTGATTTCCGGCATCTGCAGCCATTTGGTTTTTGTGATCATATGCAACTGAAGGGAATGGGCAAAAATGAGAAAGATCAAAAAGAAGAGGCTGTGCTTCTGGAACTGCCTTCCACTGGACCACATGTGGTTTGGTGATTTGGCAAATTCTATACAAAGGGCTTTAAACTGGACCTTTTTTTGTGGCCCTGGATGGAATTTGAGGAGGAGGAGAAGATGGGTTCACATGATGGGACATCTGCACAGTTGAAGATCATAAGAAATAGGAACAGGGGTAGGTCATTCAAGCCTGCTCCACTGTTTAAATAGGTTCATTGTTGTTCTGACATTCTTCACATATTCTCACCTGCATTTCCCTGTAATGCTCGATTCCCTTACTGATTAAGAATTTATCCAAGTCGGCCTTAAATATACATAAGGGCTCTGTGCGCAGCTTTCTGCGGCAAGCAGTACCAAAGACTCTCAACCCTCAGAGGGATTGAGTTTCGGAGCCATGAGGTCATGTTGCAGCTGTACAAAACTCCGGTGCGGTCACACTTGGAGTATTGCGTACAGTTCTGGTCACCGCATTATAGGAAGGATGTGGAAGCATTGGAAAGGGTGCAGAGGAGATTTCCCCGATCTGCCAATGTGGTATACTGCATCCGCTGTACCCGGTGTGGCTTCCTCTACATCGGGGAAACCAAGCAGAGGCTCGGGGTCTGCTTTGCAGAACACCTACGCTCGGTTTGCAATAAACAACTGCACCTCCCAGTCGCGAACCATTTCAACTCCCCCTCCCATTCCTCAGACGACATGTCCATCCTGGGCCTCCTGCAGTGCCACAATGATGCCACCCGAAGGTTGCAGGAACAGCAACTCATATTCCGCTTGGGAACCCTGCAGCCCAATGGTATCAATGTGGATTTCACAAGCTTCAAAATCTCCCCTCCCCCTACCGCATCCCAAAACCAGTCCAGCTCGTCCCCGCCTCCCTAACCTGTTCTTCCTCCCACCTATCCCCTCCTCCTACCTCAAGCCGCACCTCCATCTCCTACCAACTAACCTCATCCCGCCCCCTTGACCTGTCCGTCCTCCCTGGACTGACCTATCCCCTTCCTAACTCCCCACCTACACTCACCTTTACTGGCCCCATCCCCGCCTCTTCGACCTGTTTGTTTCCTCTCCACCTATCCTCTCCTCTATCCATCTTCTATCCGCCTCCCACTCTCTCCCTATTTATTTCAGAACCCCCTTCCCCTCCCCCTTTTCTGATAAAGGGTCTAGGCCCAAAACGTCAGCCTTTCTGCTCCTATGATGCTGCTTGCCCTGCTGTGTTCATCCAGCCCTGCACCTGTCTCCTTTACTTTTATGTCCTCTTCTGTGGGATCTTATCAAAAGCCTTCTGTAAGTCCAAGTAAACCAATTCATTGGATCCCTCTCATGAACTCTGCTAGTTACATCCTCAAAAAAATTCCAGTAGGTTTGTCAAGCATTATTACCCTTTTGTAAACCCATGCTAACTTGGCTTAATCCTGTCACTGCTTTCTAAGTACTCTGCTGTTCATTTTTTTTTTTTTTAAAAACAATAGATTCTAACATTTTCCCGCTACTAACCAGGCTAACTAGTCTATAACTTTTTTTTTCCTACTTTTTTTAAAAATAGTGGGGTTACATTAACTACCCTTCAATCCACAGAAACTGTTCCAGAATCTATTGGTCTGCCATCTCTTTGTTCCTGTTATAACTTCCTCATTTTGACTGCAGTTGTCTTCACTAATCTTTTTCTAATCTCTTAGAGAGTTATCAAACTTTGGAATTCTCTTCCCTACAAAGCAGTGAATGCTGAGACACTGCAACTCAATTTATTTAAAGGCCAAATTTGACCTTTTTTTTAAAAAATCAACAATGGAGTCACAGGCTATCTTGGAAGAAAATGGTGTTAAGGCTACAGTCAGATCAGTGAAGATATAAATGAAAGATACAGCAGGCTCGAGGGCTTTCATGGACTACTCCTCCTACTTCTGACAATTTGAGAAAGTCAAATTCAAATATGTTAATGTGAGCTTAGGAACTGTGGGGACCAAACAGATTTGATGTCCATGTACATAAATCACCAAAAGTTACTGCACAGCGACAAAAGATAATCTAAAAAGGTCAAACTAATATTGTTCTATAAAAAGGTCTGGTTTAGTACAGAAAGGAAATGATAAATCAGTTTTATAGAGACTTAGTCCGGTTCCACCTGGAATACTACGTTCAGCTTTGGGCACCATACTCAAAGTATATACTGACTTTGGAGGGATACGCACCATTTTCACCTAAAAGAGATGATCACTTAAAAAGGACAAACAGTATAAATTTGATTATATTTTCAAAAGTTTAGAAGGTTGATAGGTAATCCAATGAAAAGCTTCTCTTTATGTTATGATAACAGGATAGACACAGTGAAACTACATTCTCAAGGTGGGGGAATAAACTTAAAATTGTAACTAGGCCATTCAGAAGTGAAATCAGGAGGCATAGTTTCTTCAAAAAAGTAATGGAAATCTCGAATTTGCTCCTTAAAGGCCAGAAATCCTGTCAATTTCAATTATCAAGACTGAGATTGATAAATTGTCATATTAAAGCATCATTAGATATCAAACAAAGGCATATAAAGTAGAACTGCGCACAGCTTCAGCTGAATGACAGAACAGGTGCAGGTACTGAATGATCTCCTGTAGCTATAGGTGAATTGCTTTTGACGATCACAGTGGATTCCCTTGACCCGAGACTGCAACTTCTAGCAGCTAGTTAGATGGAACAACTCAGATATTAAGTAACATTAATTTAGAATCCCTATGTTGGTTAGGGGTAGTAGGGAATGCGACAGACACATTGGGAAAATAAAGTGTAGCCAATGACTACTTAATAAATGAATATTCAAAATGAAAAGAAAATGTGTTCTTTGGAATGGAGAATATTTAATTGGACAAAAAAAACCTATCACTATTTTCTTTACATTTTACTAGCTCACTATCAGCAAATAGGGGTATTCTGAACAACATGAACAGCAGCTTACAAAAAAAAAAGTGAAGTTATGAAAACAACCTTGAGTGTCCATGCTATAGAGGACTTAATCACTGATTTGAGGTTTACAGGTTCAAGGTTGTAACTCGGATCTGCCTAACATTAGCAATTAAGATATGTTGTAACAAAATTTCAGACAAAAATGCAGTATTCCAATACATCTATTATCACTCATTGATGAAATTAAGCCAGAGCCAAGGATAATTAAACAATATTGACGGTAACAGCTGAAGAATGTGGAATGTGGTGGGGTAACGGCACCCTGTAATCCCAGATAAGGCACTGTTGATTGGTAAGTAATTTTTTAAAACAAAACCCGATGTCACAAACAGCATTATTTCTAAAAACCTTCAGTTTAGATTATAGTTCATAGAAACTACTGATTGCTTTATACAACAGATACAAATAAAATCCGGAGCATTACCTCAAAACCAAAGTTATAACTTTGGATCATAGTTTCCCTGTAGTACTGCTGTAAAGTTGCACGTTCAGATTCATCCATTTCCGCTTCAAACTCAGAACTAAACATCTGGTCAATCCTATCAATTGCATTACTAATCTTATTGCACAGCAATAATGCTTCTTGCTGAAATGTAAATTGAAAATCATTAAAAAAACAACCCAATCACCATGGCAAAAATTTAAGACTTTTGTTAGGTTAACAGTATTACTCAAATTCAAGGACATTTAAACAAAAAAGGGAACAGTATTTTATTACAAGAGCAGAAATACATACCCTGAACCGTTCCAACCTACTGACCTCCAAATAATAATGGATTATGTAATAAATGTATCAAATTATCGATGTTTATCCTACCTCAATTTGAACTGAATACATAACAGTGAACATTCTAAACTGTTCGAGACGAGCACTCTATGAATCTCTTCAAACCAAAAGCAGCTGAAATTTTACTTCTGCTGGATTAAAGTTTGCCAGGGTTTCCTAAAACTGGGTGTTCTAAAATAGTCTTGCAAAGAACAAGGTTTTAAACAGTTGGCTCCTTTATAAAATTAGCAATGTCATCAAAATGGAGCACAGGTGAAAATAATGCAAAAATAAACTTTCTTGCAATGAATTGTTAAAAGCAACTTCCAATGGAATGACACGTAAAATTAAAATGACATGATCCACTTATAGACAGGTTCTAAATTATGCAATCTGTGCAGTAACTTAAAAAAGGGAAGATCTGCTTTCAAATAAGTGGTTCGCAAGAACACATTCTTGAAGGCTTAGAAAGCGTTTTCCATTGTTCCTTCAAGACTCACAATACAAAGCCATTTGAAAAGCAACAAAACATTAAAAGAAAGAATCCTGATGAACACAAAGAAACAAATTTAGGTATTTCTGAGAACAGCATTAGAAACTTCCCTCATTTCAACAACCTCACGGCTGTGAAAACTTATGGTCTGAAAGTTGTGTGCCAGCCCTAAGGCTATTTTCCCAAACTTTGCTCTGTTTACTACTCTTCTCCCATGGTTTATCTTTCTTCCCCTAGTTATTTCTCATCCTTTGTGCATTCCTAAAAACAATACTCTGTACTATTTATATCAATGGCCAAATATCACTCCACAGTAAAATAGAAGTTCTCAGGTGACTTGCCTCTATGACTTTCTAACTGTCACAAAAGCTGAGAACTCCGGATTTTGGAGAACAGAGCAACTCCATGAAGTGCAGCAAGGAAAAAAAGTGGGCAAAAATTTCATCATTATCTAGGCTTAAAGAGGTAGTGATGGATCATTTGTTTGCTCAATAGTTCTATCTGATTTTGTGCAAGAAAAAAAAATTAGGAACAGCACTGAATGTAGAACCAATCTGCTGCCATGAGTTTTACGGTCCTAGCCATCACTTTGCCAGATGTATGTTCACCAATTTTTGCTCCATATGGTCACACAGCATGTTTGTAAAAAGACCTTTTGATATTTGCTCACTTCAATCATTACAAGGATCGTGCATATTCATGAAGGCAGAATCCTCGCACATTTGCTCATACAAGGTTGATAATCATCTGCTGGGAAAGGAAGGTTCATTAATGTCTTTCAAGGAAGGAAGTCTGCCATCCTCACCCAGACTGGTCCACACGTGACTCCAGATGCACAGCAATATAGTTGACTCAGCTGCCTCTGAAATGGCTTAGCAGGGAACTCAGTTGTATCAATTACTAAGAAATCTTAAAAAAGAAATAAAACCAGACGGACAACCTAGCATTGATCTAGGCACCGGAAACGACCACAGCAAAAACAGCCCTGTCAACCTAGCAAAGTCCTCCTTATCAACATCTGGAGGCTAGTGTCAAAATTGGGAAAACTGTTTCACAGACTAGTCAAGCAAACAGCCTGACACTATGTAAGATATAACTCCATGAGTATGACTACCCCCAGATACCACCATTATCAGCCTTGGATATGTCCTGTCCCACCAGCAGGACTCACCCAAACAAGCCGTTCCAGTTCAGCTGTAACACTGGCATCTACTCAGCAAAGTGAAAAATTGCTCAGGTATGCCTTGTACACAAAAAGCATAACAAATCCATAATGGCCAACTACTTCCCCATGAGTCTACTTTCAATCATTAAGTGATGAAAGATGTCATTAAGTGTCATCAAGCTGCATCTGTTTCACAACAACCTGTTCACTGATGCCCAGTTTGGGATCTGCCAGGGCCACTCAGCTCCTGACCTCATTGCAGCCCAAGTTCAAACATGGACAAAAAAAAAATAGAATTCCAGATATTATATTCAGCACCATTCACAACTTCACAAATACTGAAATAATCCACATTGAAATGCAACAAGTCCTGGTCAATATCCAGGCTTGAACTGAAAAGTGACAAGTAACATTTGTGCCATACAAATGTAGGTTATGACCATTGCATCACCATCTCTTGGCATTCAATGGTGTTACTATCACTGAATCCCTCGCTCACTATCAACACCATGGATCTAGCATTGATCAGAAACTCAACTGGATTCGCCACATAAATACTAGGGTGGATCAGAGGCTAGGAATACTACAGCAAGTAACTGACCTCCAGACTCCCCACAGTCTTTTCACCATCTACAAGACAAGTCAGGAGGTGATGGAATTCTCCCCACTTGCCTAACACCATATCCACAAGCATTCACTCCTTCCACCACTGACACTCAGCAGCAGCAGTGTGTACTATCTGCAAGCTGCACTGCAGAAATTTACCAAACATCCTTAAATAGCATCTTACAAACCCACTTCCATCCAGAAGGACAAAGACAGCAGTTAAATGGAAACATGATCACTCATCATCCTGACTTGGACATGTATCGTTGTTCCCTCACTGTCACTGGGTCAAAATCCTGCAAATCCCTCATTAATGGCATTGTGGGGCTACCACAGCACATGGACAGCAACAGTTGAAGGCAGCAGTTCACCATCACCTTCTCAAGCGCAACCAGGGATGGGTAATAAATGCTGGACAGCCAGAGATGCCCATGTCCCACAAGTGAATAATCCTTGTAAGGTATTCTAGGGAACTATGCTTACAAAATTAGATTTAGGATTTGGTTTGATCTCATATTACAATGGATTTTGTTTTATCCCTTTTTTTTTTATAAATGTTCGTAAGATTTGTGTTAAAGCAAGAAATAATGCAATTATTAAGTTGCTCATTCCCATAATGGTTTAGGTTTTAATGCATAGTAGTTAACAGTAGTCTTACTTCTGCTGAGGTGCAGGATGTAGGTTGCAGGATGAGAGATTCATATCTACCGTTTTATAGCCCCACTAGAAACAAGATAGCCAAGTCAGTCTTGAAATAGGAAGCGAGATAACAGGATAGACAGTAAACAAATGTTTAAAAAATTCAAAACTGTTCTGAAGAACAGTCACCAGACTTGAAATGTTAACTGTTTTCCCTTCTCAGATGCTGCCAGATCTACTGAGTCTCTCCAATGAGTGAATGAGTGAGTGCCCGAGTGCATGTAAGAATTCTTTGTTCAGATGTAACACAATTAACGCGCCACAATATGATGGAGACATGACTTGGGAGAATATTAGCTTAAATAACTGTAAAATGATAACCACAAACGCTCCTTTTCAATACAATCTCAGCATGATGGTCAATTCAGAGATGATTTTTGTATCATGAGATCACCTATTCCTAACAAAAGTTCTAAAGCATGGGAATACAGATAAATGTGAACAAGGCAGAATATACCTTCAGCTGCTCCAAAGCTTTGGCTATGACAGGCTGGCTGGATGTTTGCTCACGGTGCAGTGAGATTAGATTTTGTATGGATTGTTGAAACGTTTTACGTTGATTCACAAGATGGGAAGACTGCATGACGACCAACAGTAAATTATTAATCTGAGGACAGTGAAAATAAAAAAAAAATTAATTTTGCAGATTAATTCATGGCAATTTATCTAAATTCAGAACACTAATAAAATGTAATTTAACATATCTTAACAGAATACTCTAATTTGATTAAGCAACATAATCAAGCCACTTGAACCTTTAATTTTAAATAGAAGCATTAACTTATTAAATAAATCTTACAACGATATTTTAAACTTCGTACCAACTACCATAATATCTCCATAATCAAGATTAGACTTTAAAATTCACGGTAACTTCCTGGAATTTTGTACAATTTGGTAGCATTAGTATTTCAAAATCTTGATCTCACATACTTAAACTGTAGAATAACAATGGTACTGATATTTACAGTATAGCTCTGCAAACTTCAATAATAAATTGGATCTCCTGCTCGGTTCATAAAACCACTGCCCAGTGCCAAAGTGTTCCATCAAAACTATCCACCAAAGCCCCACTCTCTAAAATTGCTGCCCTCTATCACACCATACTTCTACTCCAACATTACTGTGCTCCATCAATATAATCTTTCAAAGGCTCAATCATTTTTATTGCGCTTAAACACCAATTTTGCTTCATTCCCTAATATTACAGTATCCACTAATACTGTATCAATGCTCCAACGGCAAAACAGATATTGCACTTAGTAAAAAATGTTTATAATTAATTAGCCATTCACGAAGTAAACCAGAACTTATTTTTTTTAAGCCCCACATCCTGTCAGTTGTGCCCATTGACACAAAACCACAAAGTGTAAAGTGACTTTTTTTTTTAAATAAACAAACCACTAATGAATTTTACTGTCCAAGTAAAGAATCAAAAATTATATATTTTGGGTAATTTATTTATGAGAGAAAGTCCCCTTCCACTACACATGCTCTAGAACATTAATCTGGTCTGATCATTATTCAAGATATATATATCAGAGTAGGATATCAGGCATCGTTTACCCTGTGATATTACTAAACAAGTCAACATTGCGACCAACTGAACCACAGTCAGTCTCACTTCTTGAGTCAGGAGATCATGGGTTCAAGCCCTCCGTCAGCACAAGAATCAAAGCTGACACTGCAGTGCCACTTACCAGATGAGACATTGATTAGAAGCCCTGCCAAGATGGTGTAGAAAGACTTCATTGACATTATTTCAAAAGCGTGGCAGTGGTATAGTGGTGGGTTCACTGGAGATATAGATTCAAATCACACCATGGCAAATGGTGACAGCAAAGTCTAACATTGCAACCATTACAATTGTAGTAAAAAAATCCATCTGGTTCACTAATATCCTATGGAGAAGGAAATCTTCTGTTCTTACCTACAGGCAACACCAGACCTACAGAGATGTGGTTGACTCTTAATTGCCCTCTGACAAGGCATAACAAGCCAATCAGCTCAAAGGTAATCACAGATAGGCAACAAAAGTCAGCTTGCTGACAACATCCACATCTCATACGAGAATATGAAAAAAAAAATCCCCAGTAACCCTCCATTAACATCACAGATAAAAATATTTACTACGACAATGTCATTCGTAGGAGCTAGCTCCTAGGTGTTTTATTTCATCTGTTCATCAGATGAGGGCATTTATTGCCTATCCAAAATTGCCAAGAGGGTAGTTAAGATCAACCACAATGCTGCGAGTCTCAAGTCACACTTCGGAATGGCAGGTAGGGACGGCAGATTTCCTTCCCTTAATGATGTTAGTGAAACGGCTTTACAACAATCGGATCTCGCTTACTTTAGACAAGATTTTATTAGATTTTAGATTTTTAAATAAAACAAATGCAAATTTCACCATCTACCATAGTGCGATTCGAACCCATGTGTCCCTCAAAACATTAGCCTGGAATTTCTATATTACTAGCCCAGTAACATTACCACTTTGCCACCATCTCCTGATTTACAGACAGGAAGAAACCAATACGCTTTAGTAAATCTCTCACGGTCATGCTCTGATCTGGTTACACTTAGTAGGTTAATCTAATCAGTCTTATTCTCTTGCTCAATCCCCATAGACTAGCCAGTTTATTTCCCTTAAATACCCAAATTCCCTTTGAAATCATTCATTATCTTTGCATTCACTTCCATTGCAGGCAGAAAGATTCAGGGCTTTACCATCCATTTTATTGAGTTCTCCCTCATAATTTTAAAAATTCACTCAACATGTGGGTATCACTGATTGGGCCACCACTTATTAACCATCCCTGACTGCCCTTCAGCTGTATTCGCAAGCTGCCACCCTGAATACTGCAGTCCAGTGCGGGAGTAGAGGCGAAGGGTACAGGTACATCAATCGTGCTGCTGTGAAGAGTGTTCTAAGATATTGACCAGGCAACAGTGAAGGGACTGTAATTTTGCTCAGGTTAGGGCAGTGTGTGGCTTGGAGGGGAATGTGCAGTTTATGATGTTCTCATGGATCTTTCGCAGATGTCTTTCTAAATGGTACAGGTTGCAGGTTTGTAAAGTGACGTCAAAGGAGATTCAGTGATTCACTGTTGCACAGCTTGTAATGATAGTAAACCGCTGACACTGTGCATCAGTGGGCTGCTTTCTGCAAAGATCCTCACTTCTGACATTATGATTGAAAAGGAGATCATTCATAAGGCAGCTGAAGGTGGTTAAAGCTGATGAGAAACTGCTCCAGACATGTTATGGGACCGAACAGCTCCCCATCACTTAATTTCCATCAACTGCACTCGCGCTAGGCATTCTTAACGCCATACACAGTCAAGTGCTGTCTCAAAGTCAAGGACAGTCACTCTCACTTTACATCTAGAGTTGGACTTTTTTGATCTCGTTTGAACCAAGATTGTGATGAAGTCAAGAGCTGAGCAGCCATGGCAGAACCCAAACTGAGCAATGTGCAGATTCTTGCTGAGCAAGAGGTATCACAGAACTGTCAACAAACCTTTTCATTACTATGCTCATGATCAGGGTGGTTTGTCAGGGAAGCAATTGGCCTGGTTGGATTTGTTTTGCTTTTTAAGCGCAGGACATTCCTGGGCAATTTTCCACATTGGTAGGTACAGAATGTTGTAGCTACACTGAAACAATCTAGGTAGGGACAAAATTATTTATATAGCAAAGTCTTCAACAATATTGCTGAAATGTTGTCAGGGGCCATAGACTTTTGCAGTATCCAGTGCTAGTTTCTTGATTTCATGGAGCAAATCAAATTGGCTGAAGACTGGCATGATAAATACTGGGAACCTGAAGCAAAGACCCAGCTGGATTATGCACTTAGCACTTCTAGCTGAAGGTGACAGTTGCAAATAGAATCAGAGTCACACAGCTTGGTCCAAGTAGTCCACACCAACCATCTTCCTCAACTAAACTAATCCCAGTTGCCTGTGTTTGGCCCATATCCCTCCAAACATTTTCTATTCATGTACTCATCCAAATGTCTTTTAAATCTCGTAACTGTACCTGGATCCACTACTTCCTCTGGTAGTTCATTCCACACACAGACCACACTGTAAAAAAAGTTGCCCATGTCCTACTTAAGACTTTCTCCTCTGACCTTAACAATATGCCCCCTAATTTTGAACTCCCCCACCTTAGGGAAAAGATCCTTGCTATTCACCCTTTCTATATCCCTCATGGTTTTATAAAACTCCGTAAGGTCACCCCTCAACTTCCTATGCTCGATTGAAAAAACTCCCAGCTTATTTTTATAACTCAAGCCCTCCATTCCCAGCAAAATCCTAGTAAAGCTTTAGTGAACTCTCTCCAGTTTAATCATATCCTTCCTATAGTAGAGCAACCAGAACTAAACACAGTACTCCAGAATAGGCCTCACCAATGTCAAGGCTTTAGTCCTATCTTTTGCACAGATGTGCTGGGCCTCCTCGCTTTCGAGGATGGGAATATTTGATGTGTTACATCAGTTCCACAACCTCCAGTTTTCTAGCACTAGCCACTTCCTCTTCACCATGGAATCCCTCTACATACCCATTCCCCATCAGAATGGTTTGAAGGCTCTCCACTTCTTCCACGAAGAGAGGTCTGTTCAGTCTCCATCCACCATCATCCTCCTTCGCCTGGCTGAGCTCATCCGCACTTTGAACAACTTCTCTTTTAACTCATCTTCTCCAGTCAAAGGTGTCACTATGGATCAGCTTGGGTCCCAACATCAGCCTCTTTGTGGGGTTCACAGAACTACTTGGGCCATCATCCACAACTGTTTCTCCAATACAATGATGATGCCATGGAGTCATACAGAACAGAAGAGACCCTTTGGCCCATAAAGTCTGTGCATAAAGTCTTAATTAATCTCAACTTTCCGGCACTTGGCCTATAGCCTAGTATATAATGATATTTCAAGCGATCATATGTGTATTTTTTAAAAAGGTTGTGAGGTTTCCTGCCTTTATTTCCCTTCCAGGCAGTGCACTCAGATCCCCACCACCCTCTGGGATACTGATGCTGCGTCCTACTCTCATCCAGAATTGAAAAAATTCATCAGTTTTTCTTCCAATTTCTATATTTTCTGTTACCTTCATCTAGTCCATCTCTCATTCTTCACTGACTTCACAGTTTCCATTTCTGGGGATAGGCTGTCCACCTATATCCATTAAAAGCCCAGACTTCCACAGAAACCTCAACCACACTGCTTCACATCCTGTTACTTAAAAGGATTCCATTTCATTCTATTCTCCGAGTTTCTCCATTGCAAGTCTTCCGATGATGCCAATTTCCATTGGGGTGACTTGACATGACCTCTTTTTTTCCTCAAGCGAAGATTCCAGCCCCAATGTGTCCGAATCATCTCCCTCAATTATATGTTAGTTATTTAATCATCAATCACCAGGATTGCAGAGTTTAGGTCTGATTCATTTATTGTGGAATGCTTAGCTCTATCTATTACATGCTCTCTGATATACAAGTGATTCTGCATGCTAGCTTTACCAGATTGACACCCTGTTTATAGGTAGATGGGGCTTGCTCTTGGTATATTATACATACTCTACTAAAGCAGGATTGATATTCAAG